AATAGCGATCCTGGGTGGGTAGGGAGAGAGTCTGAGGATTAGAGAGACCCAGTGACCAGGAAAGGTTCCCTAAGGAGAAGGAAGGCCCAGGCCCAGGAGAGGGCTGGTGTGGAGTGACAGGCAGGTACTGAGGAGAAGCCACTGGGGCGGGAGAAGAAGAGAAGTCGGGAGCAGAAACAGGGCCATGTTGCCCAGGACCCAGGGAGAGGGAGAAGCCAGGATATCAGCACAGTGACCTAGAAATGTAAGTCAAATAAACCCTTTCCTTCCCAAGTTGCTTCTGCTCAGAGTGCTTGGCGGCTCTGCAGACGGAATATTTCTAAGAACGCCTCTCCGTGCCTCTTTCCTGTTGACACGCCAGTTCACAATGCTTTCTCTGAGCTAGTATGCCGTCAGAGCCTCCTGACTGCTCTCCCTGCTTCTGTCTCTTACAACTCGTTTCCTACACAGTGGCCAACAGACATTTTAAAAATACCGAATCAAATTGCTCTTCTTCCTAAGATTGCAAGTAGCTTATCATTTTATTAATATGGTACTAAGAATATACAGTATTTACCAAGGGCCCAAACAGGTTATGATGAGGACCACGGTAAAGCAGACCGCGTACTCAGCTCGATGCTGGGTACTAGCTGCCACTGAAGGGCCGCTAGAAGTCGGTGGGAGGAACTGGATTAAGAAGTGATCAAAGGAACAGAGAGCTGGGTGAATTGTTGCTTGCTAAAAACAGGTGGGCTGTCAGTGTTATCAACGTGAATTCAAGGGGCTTGCACTTTTTGAAAGTCAATTCTAAACTGACAGGGGGCGGCTGAAGATGCAAGAACCCCCAATACCTACCTTTCAGGGAGCAAAGAAAAAAACTAAGTGTGTGGGGGAAAGAATTTGTTTTTAAATAGATAGGGCACATTGTGTGATTCAGTGGCTTTGATTTCTCCAGAGCAGACACCTGGGGAGGGAGAGGGACAGCAGCGGTTGCTCATTTTCATTAAGTACTTTGTAAAATAACTGGATTTATTAAGACTAAACTCTTAGAGTTTTGGGCCTCACACGTGTAAAACAAAGGCCTTACCAAGCAGTTCTCTGGAAGTCCTTATGTCTAGAAAAGAGCTCAAGCTAGACTACAGAAGGCCTAAGAGCAGTTAGATAACAGCCTGCATTCCTTAGGAACTTGTGAAATGGGTTTTCCACCCCCCAAAGGAGTTGTTTCCTTTGCCTCTGGAAGAAGCGGCATATGGCTCTTCATGTGACAGTATACCAAAGTCCATGCTGGCCTCCGGATCCCGTCCCGTCCCCACCCCTCAGGCACCCCCAGCGCCCATACGCGGTATCTCTGGCTACCCTCAGTACTCTCTCCACTCTGCCTCCCTGTCCTGTCCAGCCCACTTCTGTTTCTCTCTGCTCCAGGCTCTTCCAGCGTTTCTGGATGTCTCTCTCCTTTGCTCACAGTAACCCCCGTCCCCCCACCTAATGATGGAACTGCAGTCCTGGCAGTTTCTTTACTGAGCCCCTGCCACATCCACGAACCACACCCCCAGTATTAAAAGTATTCTTTTAAAAAATACATATCTTATTTCATTTATTTATTTATTGGGGAGAGGACACTATGTGACCATGCAGAAGCCAGAGGACAATTTGCAGAGTTTGGGTCTCTGGAATCAAACTCAGGTCATGAGGTGGTGCAGGAGGTGCCTTTACCTGCAAGTCATTGTAAATGTCACAGTTGGGAGTCAAGGTAAGAAACACAAGAGATATATTGGGAGGGGGAAACCCAGTCCGGTGGCTGATTCTGCTCAGGTGAGAATCAGCAGAGAACTGAGTATAAGACCAGATTGAGTTTCTTGGAGGGGCTGGGGGCTGGGGGGGTGGAGGGTGTGAGGAGTGGGGGTGGGGAGTGACTTTCCAGGGTGACCTGAGATTGGAGGGATTATGTGGTTTGATCTTGGGGCAAGATCCAGAATGGTGGTTTTGTTTTTGTTTTTGTTTTCTATAGGGTGGGACCTGGCCACTCTTCCACGTCAGAAGGCTGAGAGTGACTGTTATAGCCATTAGGGAATGGCCATTATGACAGAGAAGTCTGGGAATAGGGCCTGGCAGTTGGGGCTTCAGGGTCAGAGCCTATCTGTTGGGTTCGAGAAAGCTGTCCCTGACACCCAAGTTGTTCGAATAGCAAACATTCATCTTGTGTATGTTTTTTGTTTGTTTTGTTGTTGTTTTGAGACAGGGTCTCTCTACATAACCTTGGCTGTCCTGAAACTCACTCTGTAGACCAGGCTGGCCTTGAACTCAGAGATCCACCTGCCTTGGCCTCCGGAATGCTGGGACTAAAGGCGTGTGCCACCACCCAGCCACTTGTCCTAAATAAAATGTTTCATTTTGTTAAAATCAGTTACGATACAAATACACTAGAATTGTAAGAGGAGAATTCCCAGCATTCCAGGCAACAGGGTGTGTTTATGAGTTCATATAGTGCTACTGATCTCCAAAACTTCAAATAAGAATCAACAATAAAAGTAAAAACTAAAGACAATTTAAGCAGATCTAAACCAAGTAAAACCGTGGATATGGTAGTGGTGGCCTATGATCCCAGCTTTTGGAGGCAGAGGCAGAGGTCATGAGGATGAGGACAGCTTGGGCTACAGCTAGGTCTTGTCTCAGGAGGAATACGTAAAAAGTAAATAAGTCTGAAAGGACTGGGGTGATGGCAGGGGCAGAATGCTTTTGCCGCCTATGGGGTCCTGGTCATTAACAGTGAAAACACAGATAGTTTGCTTTTAATTTGGTAACTGAATATATGGGTTACAAAAAAGGGTTAGGTGAGAGACACACTACAAACCATCTTTGAAGTGGTGATAAATTAATGCAGTAAGATGAATGTTCATTATTTTACTTTTGCTTTTGTTTTTTTGTTTTTGTTTTTTTTTTTTTACAAGACAGGGGTTCTCTGTATTGTTTTGGAGGCTGTCAGTCCAGCCTGGCCTCGAACTCACAGAGATCCGCCTGCCTCTGCCTCCCGAGTGCTGGGATTAAAGGCATGCGCCACCACTGCCCGGCCATTATTTTACTTTTGGTTGGTGCTGGGAATTGAAGCTAGAACTTCACACATCCTAGGTAAGGGTTTTACCACTGAGCTACATCACCAACCCCGAACTCAGGGTAATGAGCGAGAACAAATCATGTACTTCTTTCTGTAACTCTGAAACTCACTCAAGTGGGGCAGAGTGAGTGGGAGGGTTACATACCTACCCATTACCACCCATAAATTTGAAAGTGGAAGAGGAAGGCTTAGATGAGGTCCCCTTCAACCTCTGAAGGGTTATGCTGTAGAAATTTCTTTGTTGTTTGCCGGGAATTGAACTCAGGACCTCTGGAAGAACAGTCAGTGCTCTTAACCTCTGAGCCACCTCTCCAGCCCCTTGAAGGGTTACTTTCATACAAATCCGTGTCCCCACTGAGCAATGTAGCCCGACTTGAGCTCATGGTGGGGAGAGAGGAGACAGATGGCCTTTTGTTTCACCAGGCCCAGGAGCATGCTGCTTGCTGCCAGAAGAACAGGTCAATCGTTTAGAACCTACACAACCGTGAATAGCCAGGAAAGAGGGTTTCAACTGAGACATTGTCTAAATCAGGCTGGTTGTATGGCTGTGGCAGATACTGCCTTGGTTGTTACTGAGGTAGGTGGCACCATGTCCTAGGTGGGGAAGGGTACAGAAAGCCAGCTGAATATGCTTTGCGTTCTGGCCTTAATTTCCTTGCAATAATGGACTGTCCCCTGAGATTGCCAGTCAAGTAAACCCTTTCTCCCCTAAGCTGCTTGTTTTCAGGGTATTATCACGGCTGCAGGTGTAGGACACTCCTAAACCTTCTTACACGAAAGCCTCACTTTAAGACCTGGTACTGGACTGCAATGCCTGGTCTGTCATGTGTGGTCACTCTTTGTGTGGGGGGGTATGCCAGTAGGAGCACAGGAGCTCTCGGAGCTGGAGTCACAGGCAGTTGTATGGAGTCCTGACGTGGGTTCTGGGAACCAAACTCTGGCCTTCAGAAGGGCAGCCAGTACTCTTAACCACTGAGTCTTCTCTCAAGCCCACGATTCATTCTTAAAATGACCAGACATAGTAAAATCAGAGACCGCAACCAAACCCTAAACCGGTAACACCACAGCACCTTTTCCCTCACAAAGTATGTCTGAGTGTTGACTACTCAGATATAGCGCCTCATGAACACCCAAGCTCGTTAGTATTCAACTTTTCCTTTGCTGTTTTTTGTTTTTTTTTGAGGCAGGGTTTCTCTGTGTAGCCCTGGCTGTCCTGGAACTCACTCTGTAGAGCAAGCTGACCTGAAACTCACAGAGATCCACCTACTTCTGCCTCCTGAGTGCTGGCTGTTCAACTTCTTTAATAATGAGCATTATATGGCCATGATTTCCACCAAGTAGAGAAAAGATGATTATCACAAATTAAAGGTGAGAGATGTAATAAATGGTAACAATGCAACTCAGGATGGTGTTTTCATACACGATCATTAGTGTGTTCCATAGCATAACTGACCTCTCTCTCGCTGTGTTTTCCATGCCTCCTCTGGCATCTCTTCTAGTTTCATGACCTACACACACACACACACACACACACACACACACACACACACACACACACACACACACACACACACCTCCTCTTTTGGAAGCCGGCCACGCTTCTGACTCCTAGCTTGTGTTATTCTCTCTCTCTCTCTGGTAAATAAATATATTGTATCCCCATTGACTATCATGATTAAGCAATGAATATGGATGCCCATGTATGACAGGTATGGTGTCTGAGACTCTTTTGTGCACAAACCCAAGAGTGGGCCAGCAGGGTCACATGGCAGTTCTAGTTTAAGCTTTATGAGAAACTTTCATGGGGTTTCTACAGTGACTGCACCAACACAACTCTTTAAAATTTGTGTAACATTAAGTGGCACTTTTATTTTATTTCTCTTTGCTAGTAATAGATGTAGGCATTTGATTGGGGTGATAAACACTTTTTAATTGCATTTTCTGTGTTTAATACGTTGATAAAACATGGCTTTACAAGAAAATAAAAATCGCCAAAAGTAATTTAGGAAAATAGTTCACTGGACAAAAAGAAAAATGAGTTTGAAAATATGAAGCCAAGTAACTGTAGCTGAAAATATTTCTAAAGAAAAATAAGCAATTCAGTTTTTCACTTGGTTGAAGGAAATGAGATCGTTAGATCAATCAACACCAGCGTTATGTGTGCTCAGAAGGCGGAAGTGAGTATCAGCAACGGAGGCACGGGAGCCTGACTGACAAAAACAGTGGCACAAGGACGAAGCTGTGTAAAAACCTCACAGGGCCGAGTTCAAACCCAGCCTCCAGTTTTTTAGTCTTCGTCGTCCTGTCCAAGCTATAAACTTAAATTGAACAACACTTAAATCTGCTGAAAGATGGCACATAATACCTGTTACATAGAAGGTGTCTCACGAGATAACCGTTCCTAAAGACATGCCAGGTTCCTGGAGGGAACCCCAGGATCAGCTCCTATTCCCTAAGCCAGTGAGTGAGACGAGTAAGGAACTTCAAACGTCAAAGAACTAGGGCATTGAAAAAAAATTACTGTGCTTAGTTATATATAAGAACGGATGTGCAGATCTGAGTCCGCGTGTCCAAGGAAGCCAAAGGCACCTTGATTCCCTGGAGCTGGAATTGCAGGTGATTCTGAGCTAACCCACCCATGCGTTGAGAAACCAGATCTTCTATAAGAACAGATTAAAAAACATTCTTAAAAATGAGACTTAACAGTGCCGGGCGTTGGTGGTGCACGTCTTTAATCCCAGCACTCGGGAGGCAGAGGCAGGCTGATTTCTGTGAGTTCCAGATCAGCCTGGTCTACAGAGCGAGTTCCAGGACAGCCTTCCTAACTACAGAGAAACCCTGTCTCGAAAAACCAAAAAAGAAAAAACAAAAACAAACAAAAAGAGACTTGCAAACAGCCCCTGGTCTGAGGAATCCGAACTCGGGAAGCTGACCACCCTAACCTAAAGGTGGACCACGAGTCCCCCTTTCCTCAAAGGACACATCGTTAAGGCAGGAAATTAGGTACTGCTGAGAAAGCCGTTTACACTGCAGATACACCTCCTATTTTGGGGTCCCAAGCCTCAAGTTTCCTATTGCCCGTAAGGAACCGGAGTCTTTAACCTCCCTCTCGAGAGCACCCGCTACAGGCCGCCTCTCCCGAGGTCTAGAGGTTGCAAAGCGGGACACAGCCACCGAGCACCCCGGAGTTCCAGCTTTCAGCTTGGAACCCAGAAACAATCCGAGAAAAAAAATCCATTCACGCGGACCAACAGCACGCAGCAAGCATGCCGACCACTTTCTCCATAGGTGGGCGGAGCCGCGGGGGCCACCGCTCCAATGAGAACCTGCGTTTCAGGCGGCTCAATTTGCATATGCGACAATGCGAGTCGCTGAAGGCTGGCTCTCGCCGCCTAGGCGCCCCCAGCCTCCCTTACGGTAACCCAGCCCGGCCTCAGAACCCGACTGATAAAGTGCGCCAGCTCCTTCCCGATCCTTTGGGGGCCCTGAAAAGGGCCTTTGGGTTGAATTTGCAAGAGGCCAAGAAGATGGCCCAGAGCAGACGCCGCGCTCAGCCGCCGAAGCCGTAAAGAGTGCGGCCCTGGCGCTTGAGCGCGTAGACCACGTCCATGGCCGTGACCGTCTTGCGCTTGGCGTGCTCGGTGTAGGTGACCGCGTCGCGGATCACGTTCTCCAGAAACACTTTGAGCACACCGCGAGTCTCCTCGTAGATCAGCCCCGAGATGCGTTTGACGCCGCCGCGCCGAGCCAAGCGCCGGATGGCGGGCTTCGTGATGCCCTGGATGTTGTCGCGCAGAACCTTGCGGTGGCGCTTGGCGCCGCCTTTCCCGAGCCCCTTGCCGCCTTTGCCACGTCCAGACATGGTGAACAGCTGATCGCTAGTGGAGCAAGCGAGAACTGCGATGCTGAGCGCCCAAGCCAGAGCTTATATTCCCTGGGAGCGGACCTGTTTGAAAGCAGCCACGAGCGGGCGGAGCTATAGGCTCCACCCCCCGACTCTACTCCCGGCTACCGTAGCTCCAATTAAGATCGGAAAAGACTTTTCGTTCCCCCCAAATCTGAAAAGCGTATTTGAAATTTTAAACAATATAAGGTAACAATTTATTTTTCTCTTCCTTAGCGCAAATAAAAAGGCCGCATCATGCTTGCTATCTTCATCACGCTCCGAGTCGTTATTTTCTAAGCAGAATGCTTGCTCTTACACTACTGCAAAGTAGTGCGAAAATGCATAGGAACTAGCAGTAGAAATTTAGCTCACGGTAAAGCGACTTGCATTTTCACGCGTCGGTCTTTTGAGTGGATGGAGAAGTGGATGGTCACTTTCTCTTGTTACCAAGCTAAGAAACTTATTTACTCCCCTTTTCCTGTTTGTTTTCTCAAGTGTTTTTCTGCAGTGTGGATTTTTCCGCTTCTCCTGCCTGCCCAGCAAGTATTAGTATTTTCTTTTCAACTGTTTGTTTTTATAGCTTCTTAGCTGGACTATTGTAACGTGTCGCTTAGATAAGCTTGCATCTCATAGCTTGCATTTAAAACCTAAGAGTTCTCTCCAGGTGTAGTGACTCACACGTGTAATCACAGGTCTCTGGAGATTGCGGTAGGAGAATTGCCGCGAACTGAGGCTCAGCTAGATATTTCACCCCCTCCCTGTTCAAAGGCCTTGTAAGGTGACATCTGTCTACTCAGAGCATAACTTTGAGTAGACTTTTACTGCAAATCCCCAAAACAGAAAGGGGCTCTCGGTGTTTTGTTTTGTTCTTTTCCCGAAACTGGGTTTCTCTGTGTAACAGCCCTTACTGTCCTGGAACAAACTTTGTAGATCAGGCTGGCCTCAAACACCCAGAGATCCACCTGTCTCTGTTTCCCTAGTGCTGAAATTAAAAGCTAATGCCACCACTACCAGGTGGTGTTTCTGTTTTTAAGAAAGACTGCCCTGGGGTTTACTGCACTGAAGAAGACAGTAGGATTTAAGGAAGGATTCACACAGTACCTAGGTGCTTAATGAGCGTGTTGAGTACCGAGCATTTTAGTACACTGTTGTTGACCTGTAGTCTTGAAGATATGTCTCCCAGCAGGAAAATGGTTTCCTAAATTTTTGTATTTCTAAATGTTTTTAATCTCCAGGACGTTTCAATCTTCATCAATCCCCATAAAGCAAACATTATTTGTTGTTGTCCCTACCAGTTAAAGATTAATTGAGTTCTAGGCTAACTGGAGGGAAAAGAGCCTGAATCATTAAATTTTATCTCATGATTTTAAATCCTTGGCTCTTTAGAATTCTTAAAAAAATAAGGCAAAGCTGCATCTAGAATACTTTCTCAAACTCTGTAAAGCCCTGTCTCAAGAAAAAAAAAAGGTTTAAAGAAAAGGACTTTTATATTATATAAGCACAAATTTAAGCTGGTTTGTAGAAGTCATTCCAGTAACTGCACCAGAGGCTTCCATAGGCATTGACTCAGTATATATATCTTGTTGAATGCTTAGGGACATTAAATAATGTATCCAAGTCAGCTAATAGGTGATAAAGCCAGGATTGGGGGGAAGTTGTCTGGCTCCAAGATGATGGATCCCCTTTATGGTAGCAGGATATATTGCTCAGAACCAAAGAGTGTATTTGAGACCCCAGCTACTGTTTGTTCATCATTGTGCTAGGCAATAAAGACATACACAAATACATGTAAACACTGTTTTCGTGTGTGTGTGTGTGTGTGTGTGTGTGTGTGTGTATGTGTGTGTGTGTGTGTGTGTGTGTGTGTGTGTTTTGTGTTTGGGACAGGATCCTATGTAGCTCAGGCTGGGCGGTGACTCTGTTGCTAACGATTATCTTGAACCCATTCTCCTGTCTACACCTTCTTAATATTTAAGATCACAGGCAGGCCCTGAAAGGTTCAGACATTACACTGGCCTGCCCTGTCACCTGGCAGAACGCACTCAGGCAGCACTCTGGTCGGTCCACGGTTCCTTGAGTACAGCCTGTAGGTAGGTGCGAAGGACCCCTTTAAGAGACAAACCCCCACCCATTTACACTCTCTTCCTCTACACTGAGTTACGTTCCCACGTTCTTCTCTCTACCCCCCTTTTCTCGTTTCTCATATCGTCTCCCCTCTCTCGCTCTCCCGCCGCTGCTGTAAACAATAGCTTGTGCTCTCTATGGCTCGTGTTCCATCGCTCCGGTCCCGGTTCCATCTCGCGCCCTTTTGCCTTTTTTTCTAATTTTTAAGCTTTTGCAAAAGAACAACAGGCCCTACCACACTCTGTGAACTTTATACCAATGAAATAAAAAAGTAATCAGGGAGAGGTTAAATTAGTGATCTTTTAACTAAATGGGTACTTAAAAAAATCTACATGGCATTTCAACCACTTGCGTAATTTCAGAAAATGTGGTAAATTGAAGTACCGCAGTGGAAAGTAATCGCTAATCAAGTAAAAATCACCTTATTTCAAATGCCACGGGCCTATAATTTGAATATTTAAGAAGCCTAAGCATTCTTCCTCCAGCGGCTAGGCCTATTTTGGAGTATTCTAAAGTCTAGGAGCACTGAGCAACGACCTCCATCTCCATCTCCAAGAAGTGGGATTACAGATGTGCGCCATGTGCGAGGCTTTCCTTAATTCCCCTTTTTTCCTTCCCTCCCTCCTCTCCTTCCTATCAGGCTGGTTTGGATCTCAGAATAGGTAGGGCCGACCTCAGGCTTCTGGCGATCTTCCTTCCTCGTCTACCCTAGAAGCAGGATTACAGACATTAACCATCCAGTTTGCAGCCTTCCCCAACAGGACGGAGAGCCAGTGAACTATGTAAATTGGGACTAGGAATCTGCGCTTTGGATTGGTCCGAATGTGGGAAGGCGGGCGCTCTGCTCGCGGGCGAGCTGATTGGGCGCGGCTCCTGCCCGTCACAGGCGGCAGCAGCGGCGGCAGAGTTTGGCGAGGTAGTTCCGGAGTGGCGCACGGCGTCCCGGAACTGAGAGTGCCGGTGTTGGAGCTCCGGGCGCGCGGTCGAGCATGTCGGGTCGAGGCAAGCAGGGCGGCAAGGTGCGCGCCAAGGCTAAGTCGCGCTCGTCGCGCGCGGGCCTGCAGTTCCCCGTGGGTCGCGTGCACCGGCTGCTGCGCAAGGGCAACTACGCGGAGCGCGTGGGCGCGGGCGCGCCGGTGTACCTGGCGGCGGTGCTGGAGTACCTGACGGCCGAGATCCTGGAGCTGGCGGGCAACGCGGCGCGCGACAACAAGAAGACGCGCATCATCCCGCGCCACCTGCAGCTGGCCATCCGCAACGACGAGGAGCTCAACAAGCTGCTGGGCCGGGTGACCATCGCGCAGGGCGGCGTCCTGCCCAACATCCAGGCCGTGCTGCTCCCCAAGAAGACCGAGAGTCAGAAGGTGAAGAGCAAGTGACCCCTACGGGTGCAGAGCCCGCCGCAGCCCGCAGCCAATAAAGTCGGTGTAAAAGCGAGTAACTCGGAGAGCTGTGTAGTCGCGGGACCGACGGGTGGCTGGGTGGGGACGCGTCCCGAACTTGAGCTGGACGCGGGCCACCCTTGAGGCCGTGTGGGAGCCGGAGGGGACCCAGCGCTTCGGTTAGGAGCTCTCCCTTGAGCACTTCTTCCTTGAGCACCGCAGTGGGCAGGGGAGGCTACTGTGGAATTAATTTTGCCTAGCTACCCAGGCTTTCGCAGCGAGGAGTGGTAGGAGAGGTTTTGAGCGCGCAGACAAGTTGCCTCGCTGGCCATCTTTAGGGAGGTTGAACTACTTGGAAAAGAGAGGAGCATAGGGACTTAGTAATTTAAGATCGACAGTCTTTTAAGTAATAGAGACTATGTATTCATGATCTTAGTACCAGCCGTCTTCACCTCACACCCTTGTCTCCACGTTTCTTGAAAATGAGGTAATTTGTGCAATACGGAAGTGAGTCATGAAGTTTGCTCCCTGGACGGTATTGCATAACATTGGGGCCCTCGGTCCTTAGTGTATGCTTAGCAGCTTTTAAAATTATTTTCTCGTGCTGCTCATGGGTGGGGTAAAACGTCATTCGTGGCTAGTGAGTTCGAGGTCATTCCCGAGCTACTTTAGGAGTGTGTCTCAAAATAATGTACATATGTTTTCCCCTCAAATTTTAGTTTCATAACAACCTCTTCAGCATTGCTTCTGGAAATTGGCTTGACTTCACTTAAAACTTTAACCCTACTTTTAGGGCTAACTAGTAACTTGCCCGGAGTCCCGTTTTCACTAGCTTCAGGGTGGTGGCTCGGTAAGGACAGTTAAGAGCGGGGAGAAACATGCAGGCCCCTGGGAATGTTCTTCTCTCTTGGCCATCCCATCCCATGCCATTCCATCCTCAGTAACTCACTCTGCCCACAGTACCCACAGAAACCTCGCCAGGGTAGGTGTCCCTGTGGGTTCATGTTTCCCTGGGAGTCGGAGTTGCGGTCTTCCTCTTCCTTTACAGCGGCTGGCCCATTCCCCCACCCCCAGTGTTGACTGGCCTCAGCTCGTGCATTAGTGTGGAGAAGAGTACATCGGGAGAGTCGGCCCCCTAGGTTGCCACTGCCCTGAAACCCACATTTTTTTTTCATGGTTCCTGAAGACAGGAAAAAGGACAAATAAATAATGCATTACAAATGAGTGTCTGTATTTGCGTCTCTGCTGTTGAATGGATGTGGGAATTAGTCTTCTTGGTCCCCTTGAAAGAAGTACAAGGATCAGGTCACACACGCCTCTCTCATAAAGAGGCAGATTGCTTCCTCTAACACCTGAGAACAGACTCCAGTGGCATTATGGGCAATTTCTGGAAGTAAACTCCATAATACCTGTTTGGAGGACTAAGATGGTTTTAGTGCCGTATATTAGCACTAGGTACATTGACATATGCCATCTACAAGAACTAAGGGTTTGCCCTGTGACTTAATAAACAGGAGTAGGTATTAATGTGTACATATAGCCACTCAGCCTGTGGGGCACGGATGGCAGGAATAGAAATATCACCCAAGGTAGCTTGGTGAACCAGTGAGTTTAATTAGGGCTCACTCCTTAAAGTATAAGGCGACACTGGAGGCTATACCATTGAAGAAAATAGTAACTAAATCCTGGGGAGGCTAAGGAAGTGGGGGGACTTGGGACAAAGTTAGTGGGTCCTGTCTTGTGCAGTTTTGAAAAACTAGCCAAGTGTGGCTTACAATTCTAATTCCACCACTTGGGAGACTGAGGGAAGACCCTGAATTCAAAGGCCTGTCTCAGCTACATGTTCCAGGAAAGATAAGGCTGCACAGGGAGACTGTCTCAAAACAGTAAGTCACTTGTTAGAATTAGTTGAGTGATCACTTGGAGCCAATATACATTCAGCCACGCTTGTATATCCATGAGTTCCATATTTACAGACTCAAACATATCTAGGTTTTAAGTGCTGGTTTGATGCTTGAGTCTCATTTTCTAGAGATGAGACACCTGGGACTTCCAAAAGGACAAAGGTGGCAAAGCCTAACCCATCTCTTTTTCTCGTGATTCCCAACGTGAGAAATGTTACCGGGAGAGCAAGATAAACAAGATACAAGATGGTGACTGCCGTTTCCACCTAAGCACTGCCACTGCTCCAGAAATATGCAGGAGCCTTCCAAATACTTCTTTTTTATGAGACAGGGTTTCTCTGTATTGTTTTGGAGGCTGTCGGTCCAGCCTGGCCTTGAACTCACAGAGATCCACCTGCCTCTGCCTCCCGAGTGCTGGGATTAAAGGCGTGTGCCACCAACGCCCGGCTCCTTCCAAATACTTCTGCACTTCATCATTTCTGATGAGAGCTTTTATAAGCCGGAATGGTTTATTGACAAACAATTCTGTAGAACCATCCAGCTTGTGACCCTGGATCAAGTTCTTAAGGCTGATTTAAAAGGTCAATGTTTCAAGTGCGAGACTGGATGAAGACAGCCTAGCACCTTTCCCTATGGCCTCAAGTCAGATGGGATTGCATACGTTGCTTGGTTTTACTGGCATGCTGCCACTTTTCCTGCAGAGAAATGCCGTTCAGTGGCACAGGTGCAGTGTGGCCAGGGTTTGTTTGCTGCTTCCCTACAAAGCCAGTTTTGATTTTGGATCCCAGAAAACTGGTCTGTTCAGTTTTGTACTTCTGGAATGAAAAGGTCTAGCCCATGCTGTGGTTGGCATTGACTGGCCATGCTAAATGTGAACCCACAAAGCCAAAGGGCAAACGTTATGGTGATTAAGATGAGGCTCTGGCACAGGTACTTCTCTATCTCTGAGACACCATGACCAAGGCAACTTAAAAAGCATCTAATTGGGGGCTTGCTTACAGTTTCAAAGGGCGACTCCATGACCATGGCAGCCACTGGCATGGTGATGGCTCAGTAGCAGAGAGCTTACAACTGATCCACTAGCAGGAGGCAGAGACAGGCTGGGCCTGGAGTGGGGATTTTGAGATTTCAAATCCCAAGTGACACACCTCCAATAAGGCCACACCTAATGCGTCCTTCCCAGACACATTCCTGCCAACCAGACACCAAGCATTTAAAAATTTGAGCCTGTGGGGGCTATTGTCATTCCAATCGGAATGTTCCTCAGCTGCCTGGTTTGGAAATTCTGCACCAACTAAGGCTCATTTAAAGCCACTAAATGGCTTTGCTTTCTGTGAAGGGAAGCAGGAAGGACTGAAGCAAGCTCAAGAGACTGAGGTAGCTAAGGGGACTGACAGGACTCAGGAGGCTTTCTTTAATCAACTTGACAGCAGCCAGTGCTATCTCTGGGAATCCGCAACACCAGTTATGACCATGAAAAGAAACCAAATCCAATTGTCGGCCTTCTCCCTCTGCTGCAGATGGAGCTCATGTATTCAGCGTCAGGCTGTATAACTACAATTTTCATATAAAATTAGCAACACATCTAAAAATGTTTTGGCAATCAAAAACTTTCTTATATAATCATTGACTCTGACCATATTCTGGAGAGCAATTCTATTTATGCAGAAATGTGCTTACCATGCTAACTGGATAATAAACTGCTTCATCCTGGCATTGAAGTGGTCAAATTCACTGCTGGCTTTTCTTAAGTACACTAAAACCCCCAATGGAAAACTATTACTTTGTCAGGATTTGTCTTAACCTGTCAAACAACAGTGCCAGTCACACCAAACTTCAGAATCCAACCCTGAAATGCAGTGAACTCAACTCGGAGCATGAACCTTAGCACAGCACCGTAGAAATCTTCTCTTTACCGCTCGCTGTAGATTTGCAGGACATGCAGTGGGCACCGAAGGTGTGCCTGCCGTGGAGTCACGTGAGCACTGTTTCTGCACTAGAGTCAACGTTGTGCTATTAGATGTTTTCTGTTGCTGTGGCAAAGCACCATGACCAGGGCAACTTACGGTAGTGTGTATTTAGGTTTACAGTGTCAGCATGGCAGCAGGAGCAACAAGCTGTGAGTTCACATCTTGAAACCAAGTACAAAGCAGAAAGAGCATCTGGAAGGGGAATCTTAGCCTGCCTCCAAGACAAAGTTCCTCCAACAAGGCCTGCCCCATAGCGCCAAGAACCGGGGAAAAAGTGTCCAAGTACATGAGCCTCTGAGGGCCATTCTTACTTGACCACCACAACCACAGCTCTAAGGTTTCTTTGGAGCCCCATCTAAGCAAAGGGGAGACACTGTTCATACCTCTGAATTCCTGGGAAGCCAATATAATCTTGAAGGAATTCTTCCTCTTTATCCCTTTAGATTTCAGTTACTTTTTGTGTTTCTAATAAAATTCATTCCCACATGCATGAGGTAGGGCAGTTCCTGAGAAGCAATGCGGTAAACCCGTGCTTTGTTTCCGTCCACAAACCAGAAGTTTACACATCACCATGAAACAGAGACGGTATCTTGGTATGGAACATTTTATTTCTCCATCAAACACTCAAGAGTTTAGGTCGTGGGAAATAATTTTAATCCAAGAATTGTACATTTTCTTCCCACATATCCTGCTTTGAAATAGGAAATGACATTGTAATCCATTTCGCTATAAGTAAAATATTACAAAATATTTACAGGAAAATATTAAAAATAACTCAAACACAAAAGTCAAGATGAAATAAACCTTTCCCCCCCCCAGAAATCTCTACTCCAGTGCCCATAGCACGAGTCAAACAAATAACTAGGACTTCTCTGATACAATCCCAAATGGAGAAGGTTAGGAAGGGCTGAGGTGGCGTCATCAAGGGAACGGGCGTTTGCAGCAGTGCTTCCATCCTGGTCTACTAAAGAAACACCCCGTGCAGGAATCCCAGCAAGGCAAGTGTTAGGAGGCTCCCGGAACTGGGCGTGGGAAACACCGACAGGGGACGGCGCTCTTGCCTAAGTTTAACCGGAGCCTCTTGTTCCACAAACCAGTGCTCAACAGAAGCCTGAGGCAGCACGAGCCTGTCACAGCAGCCCTTCCATCTCCTTCATAAACGCTTCATAAACATCGTCCTTGGTTTGTACCGAGACAGGAACAGGGCCAGATCTGGGGGCCGCTTTGGCGACAGGCACAGCCGAGTCATCCTCTGACCTTCTTTGGGGAACAGCAGTAGCCCCCTTATTCTCCCTGCGCACTCTCAGTGCGGTAGGCACAAACCGCGTGACCTCTGCCTTGGGGTTGGTAATCTGGGGCTTGGCACTGATAGTCGCTGTGGCTTTCTTCTCGATGGTGGCCGCACTGGCATCATCCGCCTTCGGCCGCTGAATGAGACTGGGCGGGGCACTCAACACCCCTGGGTTGGGCAAGGGAGCTGGTGGGAAAAGCCCAGGTGGGGCAGGTCCGAGGGGAGGCACCAAGGGTGGGCGCATCATGCCAGGACGAGGAGGAGGGATACCTAAGAGGTGGACAGAACTAATTAATGCCACTTAACTGCCACTAAGGATGTTTAAACACAGGCTGATACTGTCTTTTAAGCAGGTAATTTACAGGAAATAAGATGAATTTACAGAACCTGCTAAGTTAGGCATATACTCTGATAGACAGGAGTAGGATACTATAAAGTAATGTTCACTTCTAGTCTGTAGTACCGTGCTCACAAGGTTTTCTCCCTCCAAATACTGTCTTACATGAAAAGCGTAACATCAAGCTGACACACCGGTTTCACACACATCTCCACTCTGGCTGTCCTAGGATGCTACCCTGGCTACCTAGTGTGATGTTATTAAGGCCAAGGGTGGGGTTGATTCCCCTGCACTAGTAACAGCTTCTACCACTCTCACACAGTGAACAAGGAATAGTCTTGGTCCTGGCTCATTAACTGGTAATGGAAGGAGACTAACTATGCTCTGTCTTTTTAAAGTTCACCACTTCTGACAGCTACGACACACACATACCTCACATCAGATTTCTACTTTCCTTTTAATTAAACAGCTGGATCTTGAGGCACACACCTTTTTTTAAAAAATAATTTATTTTTATTTTATGTGCATTGGTGTTTTGCCTGCATGTGGGTCTGTGTGAAGGTATCAGATTTTGGAGTTACAGAATTATGAGCTGCCATGTGGATGCTGATATTGAACCTGGGTCTTTTGGAAGAGCCATCAGTGCTCTTAACCGCTGTGCCATCTCTCCAGCCCCACAGATTTTTACTTTCTTCAAAAGTCACTTAAGAGTGAATTTAAAGTAGCAAACTGCATCAAATCTAAAGTGCTGACTATACACTCAGTTACTCCTTACACCAAGACAAAGACAAGGCGTCAGCTGCTGAGTTTTAAAAGAAACCTTCACATTAAAACAGAACACTCAATGTGGTAAAGAACAGTGTGGCCACGCTAAAAGCCCATAATGGAATCTGTGTGTCTAAGTTGGACAATGGGGAGAGGAGGGAGCCTCCCTTGTGACTGAAGCTTGAAGATGGTAATTTTGAGGACCCATGGGGCACAACTGTACCTGTACTCAGCAAAACTAGAGCCTTTGTAAAGTGTTGATTTGCTTGGGGAAGGCAAGTGATGAGAGAAAAAAGTGTAAAAGCCTACTGACGAACACATTCCGTGTGACCCGCTGGAAGGGCTCTCAGATTCCCTCAGACACAACACACCCTACAGTACAAACCAGGCTGGTTTCCGCTATACAAACGGAAAATTTTACCTGGAGGTGCAGGAGGAGGTAGCCTTGGTGGGGGTCCTCGAGGAGGGGGGGCCAGGGGGAAGGCCTGGAGGCGGACCTGGGGGAGGGCCAGGGGGTCGGCCTGGTGGTGGTCCTGGAGGTAAAAGCCTTGGTAAAGGCCCTCGGATTCCTGGCATTCCAGGTGGTCTCAGGAATGGAGGAGCCCCTGAAAGGAGAAAAAAAACGTCAAACAAATAATGGTGGTATAAAAGCAATTCACATAACCATTGCATTCAGAATCCAGATCACTTTTTATACACAAAAGTGTGCTATAAATTCATTCAGCACATTTGAGCACTAGACAAAGGGCATCAGATCTGTTACTGATCTATCCCTTTAGTTCCCGGCTCTAACCCATGAGAAGGCATTCCCTGACACCAACGCAGACTGGCCTGCACTGTCACTTTAAAGTACGAAAGGAAGCACAATCTGTTCAGGCATCCGGCTTACATAATCAGCGATAAAGACCCTAACAGAGAGCTCTGGACAAAACAGGCAGCTGTCACAACTCGTAGCTGCCATGCTCACAGAAGGGGGCGCTTTTCATCCCCTCTTCAGGAATCCTTGATAGCTTAGAGTTGTAATCAGGAGGAAACAGAACACACCAGTACTGATGACACATGCTGTTTTGGGGGAATAATTTCACACTGGCTTCACTGAAACAAAATGCCTACCCCTCATTCTGGGGGAGCTTACCTGGAGGTGGCCCAGGAGGGAGGCCGGTAGGTGGCCCAGGAGGCCGTAAGGGTGGGGCAGGCGGAGGTCCAAGAGGCGGTGGTCCTGGCATGGGAGGCGCCTGTATCTGGGAAGAGGGCACAGACTGTGGAGGTGCCTGCTGCTGAGAAGTGGCGGATGTGCCGTCAGCGTGGGAGTCCTCCTTATGCTGCTTCTGCGACTGCTTTTCTGCTTCCGAGTCATCAGACTCGTCGTCATCGTCCTCCTCTGAAAACTCCTCCACTTCCCGTCCTTCCTCAGGGATTTCCTGACCTGGAAGAATGTTGTAAAACAGGGAAACAGAGGTGACTTGTGTCTTTTTGTACACTGTGAGGATGTGCTACTCAGATTAGTTAGTAAAAAGATCAATGGCAATAGCTATGAAAAGACAACACTGGAAGAAGGGTGGAGTTGCCAGCCACATGCAGAGTGCAGGACATGGAGAATAGAAATGGGTTAATTTAAGTCATAAGGTCTAGTTAGAAACAAGTCCAAGCTACCGGCCAAGCTTTCATAATTAATAATAAGTCCCCATGTCATGATTTGGGAGCTGGCTGGCAAGACAGAGAAAGACCAGCTACAGATACAGACTTGTGGCTTTATAGCTTGGAGAACAGTGACTGAGAATACACTATAGCTGGGTGTGGTGGCACATGTCCTTGATCCCAGCACTTGGGAGGCAATAGCAAGCTGATCTCTGACTTTGGTCAGCTTCGTCTACAGAGTGAGTTCTAGGATGGGCAAAGCTACATAGACAGACCCTGTCTCTCCAAACCAAGTTAAGTATAATACATAAAAATAAGAATACTTAATTCTTAAAAGCCACCAACCTAAAAGCCTTTTTCCTACTATATGAATACACAACAATCAAGTAGTATTCTGTTCATCTGTAACTAGTGTGGCAATATAATAAGCCCAGGCTGTTAGAAAAAGATAGATTTGGAATTAGATGTCATTCAGGGCTGGCAAGATGGCTTGCCCCTACGCCCGATAATCAGAGTTCAATTTATGGGATCCATCAGTGGCCGCAGAGAGCCAGACTCCCCCAAGTTGTCCTCCTACCTCTACACACCAGCTTGAGAACATACGGGCACCCAAAACTAGTTTCCACAGCTCCCTGGCAGTGAAACTCTGGGCAGCCCAAAGGCAGCACACCTTCAGTTTTATAGAAGGCAGAGCTGGACTTACTTCAGAGCTGCTGACTTTATGGAAGAATGTATGCTAAGCAAGTGGCCCAAGGAAACAGTCATTCATTCTCGCTTCTGACCTGCCATTCGAAGCATCATGGCTTGAAGAGGTGTCAGCTCCTTCATGCTCTTCTTCTTCTTCCTTGATTTTCCAGGCATATCAGCAAATCGGACACTCAGACCTAAACGGCCAAAGAAGGAAATGAGATAATGTTCACTACAATGCAGACACTATAAATACTAGGTATGACCACAACCCATGACAGAAGAGAAGTGCAGGAGAGACATATTAGATAATCAGTGCTGTGTTAATTGGTGGCATATATACTATGATGGTTTAAAACTTACAAATTTTGAAAACGTTATGATACATGTGCCTCAAAGCAACAATTTTCTTTAGCAGTTCAGTCAAACATAAGTCATAGGAAAGACGAAAGCTGTCCCACTCATGAAACACCATCTCACTAACTCAAAGAAAACTGAGCCCAACAGTGCTGTAAAAGGAAAATACTTCATAAGCATGCAGGGTGCACCAAACGTGCAAGGTGGTTTAGCACTAGAAAATCAGCAATGTAATCTACAACAATAGGCCACCTAAAAGATGGGAAAATCTTAGTAATACCCTATCAGGCACTTAAAAACTATGATTACTCCCTAGTACCCCCAGTTCCACCAGAAAAAAAAAATCTCTTAGCAAACTAGAAATAGACTTCTTCCACTGACAGACTACCTACTGGAGACAGTCAAACACCACATTTTCTATGTGGGACAAACTGTAGTTTATCTTGCAGGTTCAGTACCCAGAAAAATGGCTTGAATACGGTACATGCAATAAATGTCTGATGAAAAATGAGACGCTGGGACAGCCATCTGAGGAACATGCATGCTGCTGAACATACAAGAAAAAACAAGCTAGTGGCACCATCTTTCTTCCAGAGTGCAGGCCAGCCTGGTTCAGTGAGTCCTGTGCTAGCCAACTACAGATAGACCCCGCCCCTCCCTACCCACAAAAACCCAAACAACAGCTGGCAGCAGAAAAGGAGAGACCAGGTAGCTTTTCAGGAAAATGCAGTTCATGGGGCTCTAGCTCCTCTCTGCTGTATAAGATCAGTTCCTCTGTAATAGTCTTCTATATTTTATAACACAGGCTCATCCTGTTACTATTTGTGACAGATTTTATTTCATTTGTAATCATGATTAAGAAACACTAGGAAAGAGCTAAAGATGGTTCAGTGGTTAAGAGCCACTGTGTAACCCTGAGGGGCCTGGAAAACCCAGCTCCCAGAGACCTAATGTCATCTTCTGGCCTACTGGAGCACCCTGACACATTCATCCACACACCCATGTAGAGGCTGACAAGCACACACACGCACCTTAAAAAAAAGAAAGCTAGGACAAACATCTGCTGTATTCCTAAATACAAATACAGTATACAGACACCACACTGCAGACCACACCAACAGTGCCCAAAGCCTCCCAACTCCTGGGCTTTGATAGAGCCAGTGTGCCCTTTAAACACAATGCATTCAATTCTGACAAAACATAACACACTGTTTGCATAAAACTGGGGACTCAGCGCAGCAGGATGTATTTTGCACACACAAAGTCCTAGTTTACTCCCCAGAAGCGCACACACAAACCTTTCTGAAAGAGGCTTCACAGCTCATCTGGAGAAAGGTTTGCTTTCCATGTGTGTTTGCTAAACAGGTGCTTTGCTCAACCAAGACATGGCACCAAGGCTAATAAACATTTTTAAAAGAAAAAGATAGGCCATGATTCTAAATTATAGATACACCTGAACTGCAGTTATGAACCTGGCTTTTATAAGACACCATTAAAAATAGAAAATCTAAAAGGCTTCCAGTGTAGATTTTTCCTTAAACCTCACAAATATCTGTAGAATAATGCATCAAAACTTTCCAAACTATTAAGACAAATGGCTAGGCACGGGGGCTTACATTTGTAATTCCCAAATGTGGGAGGATGAAGCAGAGGTCAGTGACACTTGTCTCAAAAGCAAACCAAACCAAATCAAACTGGGATTAAAAGCTGGTCCTGATTGGCTCAGGAGATAAGGGTGTTTGTCATCAAACAAACTTCCCACGCTGAATTGCCAGACAAATATGGTCGACTGAGAGAACCAACCGTGACTTCCACATATGTGCCCTGGCATATACACACATTCAAGAATGCACACAAACACATGCATACACAAGACACACGTAATAACAACAGTAAACCACAGACACCACCTCAAATTGCACAGCAGAGGCGCTCGCTCGCCATGACTGACTCTCCTCGGGCTCGCTCGGCTGTGTGCTGACCGCACCACGCACAGCACCCTGCACGCACCTGACTTCTTCTCCTCAGGGTTGTCTCGCTCACCGTCGTCGCGGTGCCCAAACTCATCCCCCTCACTCTCTGCATCAGATCTGTCGGTGTCACTGTCATCAGTACTGTCCTCGTGCTTGTCCTGATCCATGTCCTCAGGGTAGCCATCGTCTTCGCTGGTACTGGACACGTCTTCATCATGACCTCGTTGAGCTGATGACAGAGAACAAGGAACAATAGTATGTGGCCTTCACAGTAACCAGAAACACAAACTTATGCTATTTTAACTCTATAAAACGTAGAAAAAATTCTGTATGCAATGTCAGCTATCACGTACTACGATAATTTCACTGGGTTGTCTTAAGTACTGTTTTGCTTTCCTGTAAGAAGTCCAAACACACTGTATTAGAAGCAATTATGCATAATCAGTAATTCTAGTCAGTTGAAAATACAACTAGGAAGAGCAATTCAATCAATTGAATAGGGATCTGTAGTGACATCTCTATGTAAGCAACATGCTCTCACCAGGCAGATCTGGTCAATTACCCATGGGGACACACACAGTAAGTACATGGTGTCCTCATTCTTGTGCTCGCTAAGTATGACCAACATAGACACAATCCTGAGAAGGACAAAAGTAAAAAACCCTGCCCCTTCATACCTAGTTCTGGACTATACATCATGTCTTCATCTCGTCTACGAGGTGGAAGATCTAGAGCAAAACCCACTTTACGGCCATACATCTGCAGAACCTGAGGGGGAGGTGGGCCAGGTGGAGGGCCCGGTGGTTTTCTGCCAGGGGGCAAACGAGGAACACCATGTCCGAGGAGCGGAAGGATAGAAACAGCCCGAGTTGGAGGCCTGTAAAGAGAACTTGACTGAGTTACCTATGTCTACAGTGCAACGAGAACGCATGATTCCCTGCAGTTTCAATGCTCGCTTTCACATCTCACTGCATCTCACACTAATTACACCCTCACGGCCTTCAATGTGCTCGCTGTGGTACCTCAGTCAAAAGCTGCCGTTACGACAGGCTTCCTTACCCATATGCCGAGGTTTTCTTAAGGATGGAAGGCGGCTGGGCACCCGGAAGCGGAATGTCCTGGATCAAGATGTTGGAGGGAGCGTGCGGCATGTCTGGCAGAGGGATGCTGTCCACTTCCACATGCTGAGCGTTCTGCAACAGAGACCAGCTGTACAGCCCCTGCGGACCCGCCCCCTGCGGACACCCTGCATTTGTTTTCCAACTAACAGAGAGACCATGGGAAACAGTCGAACGCCTCAGGCCAAAACTGCCCAGGGAATGAAAGAAACCCGAATCCAAATACAGCTTATACTTTCTTTCAAAATCCCTATAACCAGCTCATTTCTTTTCAGTATGATTTGAAAAAGCCTCGGTTTTAAAGAAATCCAACTGTTCAAAGGGGCAGGGCTACTGCAATACTCTGGGCAGTAACACATCTGTTGACAAAGAGCACAGTCTCTAAACCCACATGCCTTTCTCGGGAATCTGTCCTGAGCTGTTAGAAACAAGCCATCTACTTCACCAAATCATTCTATTTGGGTTTTTGATGTTCTGCCCCAGTAAAGGAAAATTTGTAATAAACTATAAAAGCTCACACAAGTGGACATATCCTACTCCGCAATCAACCTTTGATGCCTTATAGTCAGTCAGTGTTAACAGACCTGTTTTTGCCTCACCCATGTTCTTTGAAAGAGTCTTCAATCCCAGGCAAGATTAAAGGTGGGCATCACCATGGTTGGCTCACACTACTAATTTTCATCATGTGCTGTTTCTCTGTATTATCAATAGATTTACTGTACAAATAATTTCTGCTAGAGCATAAGGTGCACACTTAATTTAAACAACAACTGCAAAAAAGAAGAGCCTGGGAGCCATCAATCCCCCGTCAACTTTAAGAGCCGACTACAACACATGTGGCCCCTCTCAAGAGCAGCTTACCTTAACAGCGTCAAAATACTGGCTCAGTTGGGCCCTCTTCTGCTCATATTCTACCTCTAGCTTTCTCAATTCTTTGTAAATATCTGGGTTTTCTTTTTCATAAAGTCGTAGAATTCGTTCAAAGGTTTCCCGCAGCTTTTTACGCTTGTCTTTCAGTACTTTCTCATTTAACTGTGGTTGTTGCACTGGGTTAAACTCTGGGAGAAAAGCAGATAATAGAACGGTAAATGAAGAGCTGCTTCATCATAACAACCTCCACATTTCATTTCTGAGTCCTCTGTGCTCACGGGGATAGACTCCCAGGCAGTCACATCTTCCTCCAAAGATCAGACTCACAAGCATGCTGTCTGCTGAGCTGCATTCCTAGCCCTCCCTGGGACTGCAAACGAAAGCTTCCCCAGTCTGCTGAGACGCCGCGGCCTTTCTCCCGCCACCACCAAGTGCACACACACCTCCACTTTCTGCCCCATGCAGCTGCTCACCACAGCTGTGCAGGAGAGCAGACAGACAACAGTCCTGGGGAGAATTTCTGGGCTTCCTCCTACAGACAACTTTCTAGGGATGTCTCAGTTATGGAAGCCAAGGCACACCTTTCTATTTTAATTAGTTCAGATTTTTATAAATGAACTAGGGCCCTGATGATTAAGACTCCCCCCCCCTTTTCTTCAAGTACCAGTTGAATTAAAGTCTTTCCCTGAATCTTCCTATTAACCGATTCACTCAAATCTAGAAGATATATTATTGCATCATTCCTAGTAACTAAGAATTTGAGCGCATACCTTTTTTTAAAATTCTGCTAACTTATAACGGCAAAGGGAAAATATAATTAAATCTGAACAATTATAAAGTGAGCTGGTCAGACTCAGCCTTTGTTACCTAATAACAGTAAGTGATTTCAACTGAATGACGGTTTCTCTCTTCTCGGATATGTGATCTCCAGCTTGCAATAGATCTTATCTCTTCACTTTATTTCCAAACATTAAAACAAAATGTCATGTCCAATGCCATCGGGTTGCTTTGTTTTCTCAGGCCTATGCTGCTTGCCGCTGGGTACGACACACTATTATAGCTGTTAATAGATCTGGTCTTTTCATACACTCTTACCCATTTCATCTAACTTCTCCATGTCCCGGATAATCTGTTTGGGATCTTTCATCTTCAACACTGCAGCTCGGACCATCATTCGTTGTTTTTTGTTCTTAGAAAAACAAAAGGGAAGACTACTGAGAGGCTGGATTCTCAGGACATTTTCACTTCAATTTGCATCAAGAATCTAAATAATTTCACATTTTCCTTTGTTTCTAATCATGTGTTTACACCACCAGGAAGAGCTGAGATTCTTGTTCTCAACAATGTGTGGACATTACTAAGAAGGTGTGCTTTCTTAGGAAGTACTTCTTTCAGCCCAGTTAGACTGTTAGCAACTACCACAGGAACAACTTTTTTAAAAACAAAAAACAAGGGCTGCAGTTAAATGAAAAAAAAAAAAAAAGAAAGAAATACGATACTGGATAGGGACATTTCTGAAAGATTCAAGAGCATACCAGAGACTAATTGTAAAACCCCTGAATGCATTGAAGAGTGATACCAAATATTTATCCCTTTAATTACTGTCAAAATTCAATAGCTAATGAGATATACAAAGATATCCAGTAACACATTTATTGGCATTCATCCAATAGTTTTTAACAAAGCAGCCACATTTTGATAAGTGGTAAAAATAATTACTTTCTCAAGACCGGGTCTGATCTAGACCAGACCCGCCTTGAACTCCTGACACTCTTAACTCTGATCTCCACATCCCAAGTGCTGGGATTACAGGCATGCATGTGCTACCGCAATCATCTTAAGAACTATTTCCAAAGGCATTTAAAAACAATTTTATTTTGTGTGATCCAAAGGCATTTAAAAACAATTTTATTTTGTGTGAATGTGCAATCATGTGCTTATGAGTTCTTGTGGAGATCAGAAGAGGGTGTTGGATTCCTGGGAGATTGAGGAACAATGGCTATGAGCTACCCAACTTGAATGCCGGGGATGGAACTCAGATCCTCTGTAAAGCAGTACACAATGCTGTCCTCTACTGAGGCATTACTCCAGCCCCCAACGAATTTTCTTTTTTTAACTTATGGGATAGGAGAATCAAACAACGTCATACAAGCCACCATGAATTGAATCTCCAAGGTTCTATTAGTCATATCAGTTTTTAAACATAGTAAACTGGTTTTCATTAGAAGTATAAAGCATTTTTTCTAGCATATAATTTAAATGTTTTCCATTCACAAATCTCAGTACACAGAATGCATCTGAATTCATACCTTTTTCAATTCTCTTTTCCGGGCTTCCTTTCCTAAAGAGAGGGAAAGAGACCATACACCTCAGATCTTCAACATTGACATCACCATAAGACAACACACACACATTTTTCTTCTGAGGCTCTCCTATGCAACACAGGGATATGCACTGGCATCGGTGGCTTTGACCTACAGACAACTGTGGCACCTCTAATCCTTACAACTCCAAATGCTAAATTGTTTCTTTTCACAGAAAAATAAATGAACCAATGAGAAAAAGAGATTCTCAAATACCAAACTAGCACTTAAAAACTCATTTGTTTAAAAGTTCCAACACAAAACGAAAAACAAACCAATTTTATCCTGCAAGCCAGCAAAGTTTGACAAACAACATGGTTTTAACTGACTTATACTCTCAACATTTTTGTCATGTGAATTAATTTTAATTAAATTCAACATGACCTCACACAAGTCACTTCTACCAATCTGAACTTGCTTAAGCATGGGAACTATCTTTGCCACCTTTAACTCTCCTGTGTTACCATTTCACACCGATGGCACTTACGAGCTTGGTCTGTGGGGTTCATAAACTTCCCACTCTTGGTGGAGGATGTCGATCTCCGTCCCATGGTGACAATTTGTATGACTTACTTCTTCATTAAAAAAGAAAACAAAACCTGAAATAAAAAACAAACAAACTCAGTCTTCCTGTATGTTTAACATGTCTTCCTTTTCAGAGTTTTCATCAATTTCTGGAAATAACCCTCTGATTACTAATTTTGTAAGAACTTGCTCTTTAGTTTTGAACTTTTTGCCTTTCTTCACCCCAGAAAAGCTAGCATCTGTATTAGTCAAGGCAATGAGATACCATTAACTCACCAATATAACACTCTGCTATGGATTATGTAGCACTGTCAACTAAAAAAATCAACCAGGAGTCTGCACTTGGAATGTGGACTGAGCCATAAGGCTATCTCAAAACAAAACAAAAAGAACTAACCAGAAAATGTTTTAATAATATGATACAAACCATGGGTATAAGCAGTCAATAGTCCTTTCCCCTTTATACATAAGGTGAAGTCAAACACAAGTAGAGACAACAGCTCTGGGCTCAAAGACAATGTTCTCTACTTTTCTCCTTGGCATATGTACTGTTTATTCAACACCCCACAGACGATAAAAGGTAATTAATTTAAACATATTTAATTTAGACTTAATACCAAGTCGAATATGATTCACGACTCTCAAGTAAAAAAAAAGGTAATTAAAACTGGCAGTCACAGTAGAAAAATAATCTCAAAGTTTTTGTTAGTGTCAATTCTTCCTCTTCTATTGAAAATGAATGACTGTTAACCTTAAAATTTAACCTTTCCAATAATAAAGTAACAAATGTTTCCCGCTGAAACCATGTGGATATCCCCTTTGCACACTAATCTACCTTCTTTCTTGAGGAGACACCTCTAATGGTAGGGAAGGGGCAGATCCTGAGATAAACTTAAGAGACCCCACAACTGCAATTCCCTTGGCTCCTCTGTTTAGACTTCGTAGGGGGTTTTTTGGTTGTCTCTTTTAGTTAATGCTTCTCTCACCAAGTGATCGACTGCCCGGCTACTCTGTACTTCCTAGGTGGTTCGGAACCGTTCGGTGGCGACTATTCTTTCAATGGAAGATGTTTCGCTATCCGAAAACAAGAGGGGCAGGCTGACGGGAGGAAGGGAAGAGGAGGGCACTGATGACGGAGAACTAGGAAAGAAAGAAAAAAAAAGCACGGATATAGAGTAGCTGCGTTGGTCGTCCTTCAGGTTCGTGCTCTGACCTTTCCTCGCCCCCTTCCACAACCGAAAACGCGGCAGCCACGGGGCCCTGGGAGTTTTTACAGGACCGCCAGGCCTTCGTCTACAAGAGCGACTGTCCTACGTGCATCGGGGAGAGAACGGGGCTACGGGCCGTGGGGACCCGGACAGCACGAGCGCCGCCCGCCCGCACGCCCGCCCGGCCCAGGTCCACGGCAGGCGGCCGGCCTCAGGCGCAACTGCCGAAACCATGGCGACGGTTGACCCCGACTCGAGCGGCTGCGCGTCAACCCAAGCCGCCCGCCGCGCCCAGGAAGCGCACCCGGCGCACCGGGCGGGCTCGGCCGTCGGCCGCCGCACCACTCCGGGCCCCGGAGCCCGTCTCCAGCCCGCAGCGGCAGCGACTCCCGGCCCAGTGGAGGCAGAGCGCGGCCCCCGGGGCCCGGCGTCTGAGGCGGCTGCGCAGGCCCCGGAGGCGGCCGCGGGACACGGAGCGCCGCGACCGCGCACACTTACGCCACTGCGGGGCTCCCGGGTCGGCGAGGCCGGGTAGCGGGCGGCCCCACCGCGCTTTCCGCGACCGGGCCTTCACCTCCGCCTCTCGGTCAGCCACCCAGCCACCGCCATCTTGAAACCTCGCGCCCCTCCGCCATCCCCGCGTCACTTCCGGCACCCGCGGCCGACGCTCTCCCCGCGTTGCCGAGGCCCGGGACCATCGAGAGGACACAATAACGTCGGGGCCAGAGTTGCTTCCGCTCTCAACCCCACATCCGATTGGTTGGCTGTCGGCCAAGAACCCGCCTCGCTCTGGAGCATTGTAGATTGACACGTTTGTCGCCCCGTAAGAAGAAAAGGAGGGAGCCGCTCTTTGATTGGCCGATTGCTTTACCGCTCGGAATTCTGACGTCGTTCCCGGAAGCTCGTTGCGTTGAGACGCCGGGTAGCGGCGCGTCCGCCGGGCAGGGTCGTGCGTTGGTTTTTTGCCACAGGTTGTGTTGGGTGTCAGGGGTGCTGGCCTCAGCGATTGCCTCCGTGTGAAGACGAGATCCCCAGTGACACTGGCGCCGAGTTTAAAGTGCTCAGCGGGCGCCAGCAGGGGCCCCGAACACCCACAGTGTGTAGACCTGAGCGAAAAAGTCATTTCCTAGCGAAACTCACGAAGTTACAATACACACACACACACACACACACACAGAGAGAGAGAGAGAGAGAGAGAGAGATAGTTTAAAAGAGAAGCAGGGTTGCGCTTTAGATTTTTCCAGAGGAGTTGGCACATAACGCTCCCCTTCCGATCCGTTTTTTCATCAGCCCGGAGTCCTTTATGATGTCATTACACACTCGGAATTCTTTCTCATCTTCGTCTTTTCCTTCCCTCCCACACCCCCGTTCCTTAAGACTCCTCCCCACCCTTTCCCCCCTTAAAGGTAAGCATTGAAAATGAAATCTTGGTAAAGCGCTCGCTTGGTGGTTTTTTTCAGCTTCACCTGAGTATCCTTCACAGAAGAGGGTTGTAAGGGAATTTTTGGTACCAGGTATTTCATAACTTATTGATAGAGATGTATGTTAATGTCTAGAATGTTTTGGGTGTGTCCCCGAACAGTAATATCAAGTCGCATACTTAGGCTAAGCTTTGCTGTAGTAGAAAGAAAAACTAAATTTCGAGATAGGATCCGTGTGAAGCCCAGACTTGCGTATTCAGTAAGTAGACCTCCACCTCCCCATCCTTCTGCCTCGTTGTCTTGACTGATGAAGTTACAGGCATGAGCCACCGTGCCTGGGTGTCTTATTAAACGCTTGGTGGCCTACTAAATTTGATTACTCTGTGTCAGCAATAGCAAGATCTGGTCGTTCAAAACTTACAAACCAGGTAATAATAATAACGAAAAACCCTGAAGGTGACCCAAATTGTGGTAAGTTGAAACTAATTTATAAAAGCAGTGATAACGCAGAAAAAAATATATTTGAAAGTCATATGGCCAGTTAAAAATTTTCATCTACTTGTAAGAGATTTTTGAGAGATACAGAGTATTTTATTTCAGCATTAACAGTATATTAATTTTCAAAGTAGACCCTGAAAATGGCTCAATGGGAGTTGTTAGTTGAAGGATTTAGAAAACAAATGCTGTATCTACAGAAATTAAGTTGTATCCATAGGTCTCCATTAGCCTCTGGAATTGGATAGTAAATAACAAATTCCTAAAAGGTACACTCTTCTTCCTCACCCGGATATGTTCTATGCATGGACATCTGGGGTTTATTGCGTGTGTGCGTGCGTGCGTGCGTGTGTGCGTGTGTGCGTGTGTGTGTGTGTGTGCGTGCGTGCGTGCGTGTGTGCGTGTGTGTGTGCGTGCGTGCGTGCGTGTGTGTGTGTGTGTGCGCGCGCGCGTGCGTGTGTGTGTGTGTGTGCGCGCGCGCGTGCGTGTGTGTGTGTGTGTGTGTGTGTTTTTTAATGTTCCAGAGTGTTCTACTGCTGAAGTGATAGACAACATTTGGTCAATGTTAATTGCATTATAGAAACAAGTTTTATTTTATCCTTTTCCAAATCCACCCATTCACACTTAGTAATTAGTAGAAGCTCACAGATCCATTGCCTCCTTTTATTCTTGAAGAAAATGTTGTTGTTACCAGTCATTTCCAGTTTACAGACAATTGGATTTTACTTAGCGGTAAAAATATGGAAGTATTTCTGGTTCATTTGAAGGCCATAGGTGTATGTCCGAATTAAGTGATGCTTGAAACAAGCAATAGGAATGGTCTCTGCATTTATACAGGATGTTTGAGGACATTGATTGGGAACAAGAAAACAATTCTGTACCTGCTGCTCTGTGATGTCTTTCTACGACATGGTTATGACAGCAGGGGAAGAAAACTCCAGACAGAAACTTATCCCTCGAGGGTCCAGTACAACTGAGGGTCACAGAGCCCAAGCATTCCATATCTTTTACCGTGTCCCTGTCCGCATCAGAGGCATATGGCAGGAAACTAAAGAAAGAAGCACAGAGCTATCCCAGTGGTGGACTCGAGACTTCATCTTATCTGGCACTTCACGGCCCTGGTGACTTCAGTGATGGCGTCGTGGTACCTTTCTGAGGCTGCCTTGAACTCCACCAGATGCTTCTCATAACTTTTGATGGCTGCTTGAAGCTGTGTCCTCTCCACTGCTCCCAAGATGGCATGAATGATTATATCTATGCCAAGGCCAAGCACAGCAACGCCAATGCTGCCAAGGAGAGAAGTCCCGATGCGAGCTAGCACAGTGACCAGCTTGTTCATTATGCCGCTTGTGACGTCGGAGCCCACGAGTTTAACAGCCACGGCACTGGCTGCGGATGTTGCCTCCCCCAGGATGACAGAAATGACCCTTTGCACAATGGCGATCTTCTCGGTCTCCCTTTCCTTGATGTCCTGGAGCCTCCTGTAAAGGGTTGGCTCCAGTCTGTCTTTCAGTGCTGTGTCCACCTTTTGTAGTTCCTCTTGGATTTTCATCACGGCTTGGATGATGATGTCACAGTTTTCTTTGATGGTCCCATCTCTTTTCATTTCAATGAAGGCCAGCCTACAGCCCAAGTGGGTGTTCAGAACCCCTGTCAGCTTGTTGGTGACCTGGAAGCTGTCAGACAAACAGTCCAGGAGCTGCTGGTGAAGGCGGTTCACTTCCTGCCGCCTCCTTGGGTTTTCTGGGTAGAGGAAGTCACTCTGAGCCATATTTCAGCTACAGTGTCTGAAAAATCAAAAGGAAATTGTCACAGAGTACCTGATGACTCTACTCAGGAGGCCTTCAAAGTAGCCACAGCTAAAGGCTTTCTCTGAGAACTCATCAGGGTTGATGTGTTTGTTTGAGACAGGATCTCATGTAGCCCACAGTAGGTCTGAATTCTGACCTTCCAGCCTAGCCTCCCATGAGCTGATTACAGGCCTGTGCCCCCCCCCTCCCCGCCTGGTGTATTCGGTGCTGGGGACCAAACCCAGAGCTTGATGAATTCAGCACAAGCATTCCACAAACTGAGTTAAGTCCTCACCGTCAGGGGTTAGCTCCGGACGACCATTACTTCTCCCTCCAGTCCCTAGCCACTGCTCTAAATGTGTCTACCAGGTATATTTCTCAGGTTAGTAGTATAAAGATCTCTGGTTTACAGCAACCCTGATATAAATCTAGTATGCATGTGTTTGATAATTTAGAATATTCCACACCAGGGTTGGCGAGATGGCTTCGTTGGCACCAGTGCTTGCTTTACAAACCTGAAAACCTGAGTTTGGTCCCTGGGACCCACATGATAGTGAGAGATCTGACTCTTGTAAGATGTCCTTTGAGTTACACACCTAAGGTGGCATTCACATGCTCACCCATCACTACCTCACCCCTCCCCAATAAATAGTTTTAAAATTTTAAAAAGGGGAATACAATGTTTTATATCTCTATGGGCATATTGCTTTTAAAGCAAAGACTACCCAAAAACAACACCCATGTGATACTAGAATCCTAAAAAAGTCCTGGATTAAAGGTCTCTTGGGAGGCAGAGGCAGGCAGATCTCTATGAGTTTGAGGCCAGCCTGGTCTACAGAGCAAGTTCCAGGACAGCCTCCAAAACGATACAGAGAAACCCTGTCTCAAAAAAACAAACAAAAAAACAAAACAACAACAACAAAAAAAGAGGCTAGATTGAGTATCCAGAAGAGGCTAACAGCATCTCACAAAAGCCTTGGGAAGTAGCAAAAGCACACTGGAAATAGTAGAGCTAACTGGGACAGGACTTCTTGAGAGGAAACAACCATACTTTTCTGCATTTATTTTACTGAAAAACTGAGCACAGAAAAAGAGAGAACTACTGTATGTGCACACTTTAAATCATCTTTCTGTGTGCCCGGCCAGCACTTTGACTTTCCTGTTAAACTCTGCAATGGTTAGTTTTATAATTATTTTTATTTTCAGGCGTGAGTGTTTTGCCTGCATATATGTATGTCTGTGCATCCTGTGTGTGCCTAGTGCCCTCTAAGGCCAGAAGAAGACACTGGTTCCCTTAGAACTTAGTTAGAGACAGTTATGAACCTCTGTGTGGGTGCTGGTAACTGAGCTGGGTCCTTTGGAAAGAGCATCCAGTGCTCTTAACCTCAGAGCCATCTCTCTAACACACACACACACACACACACACACACACACACACACACACACACACACTGTATATGAGGTTTACCAAACAATCATTTCTCTGCTGTCTGTGTTATAAGTCTGTCTTCCTGTTTCTGTTTTACAAGATAAGTAAATGACCTGACCAACCTGTATTCCCATCTTGTTTCTTCTTGCTTCCATCCTTTTCTGTTTAAAGAACAATTACCTTGTGTCCAGTGCTTCAGAACACACTTAAAAGAATGTGATGTTGTCTATCCTAACACTGAAACTGAAGCTGGTTAACATCTTTGAACTGCTTTTGTAGTTTGTGTTTGGCACAATTTACAAGAGCGCTTTTCTTTGACTCTGACACACAAAGAAGAAACAGTTGGTGATGCCCTGCTTTCTTGGCATTTCTAATCAGATTAGCAAGTGAAGACATTTATAACTACGATGTCAAATTGAAAAAAATGGTTATACAAGATTTGCGTTTGACTTGTGTGAAGTCGATTTTTAAACAAGTCACACCTTTTATTACTCTGTTTTAACATTGCCCCAGGTGGAGACAGCGGGTCACTCAGGGAGAGTCACACTCATGGGCCTTTGAATTGTCCCTTTACATGTGCATTTGATAGTTAAGGGGAGACTCGGCGCTGCATGGAGGACTGAGAGTTGTACTGTGTTGTGCTTCCGGTCTGGTTTTCAACTGTTTGCTTCCAAATCGCAATCTGATTGCTCTACTCGGCAGAACAGAAGCCCTGCAATCAGTCGAACGTCTTAAAGGTCACTGATGCCCACCGATGACACGCTGCTATGCCCAAGAGGCATTCTGGGCCATAGATTTGCTAACACTTAATTACATTTTTGACACTTTTATTACATTTTGAAATGCCTGTAGACTCCTCAGAGGTGAGTTGGACACAGTTCACACACATACACCTCTGTATGGCAGATTTGGACTTTCATAAAATCTTAGTTATCACATAGCCAGTGCTTCCTGCCAGTGAAAAAGTTATGTTTGGGGAGTCACTCTCCAGTTCTACAGCCTGATGTCACCCCAAGTAGTCAAGTTGTGAAGAGTCCTGCAGCAGCCTGCTGGGGACTTGCTAGCCAGCAGGTGGAGCTCGTGGCTCCTGGGAGTCCCATCTACTCCCAGCCTTTGCTGATGCAATTTTGCTTTGCTTGGTCTCCATTTGAGCTGTAGGGGGTAAGATTTTGTTTGATGTGAGTGTTTGGTGGTAAAAACAGGATTTTGAGTCCAAGAGTAGGTGTGCATAGCTAACTAAAATCATAGAATTTAAAAGGCAGGGGCAGGAGGATCAGGAGTTCAAGGGCAGACTCAATTACAGTGAGTTCAAGGCCAACCTGGGTTATCTGAGACTGTCTAAAAGGGGACAGGGTGGGGCAGAAATATGAAAGAGTTAATTTCATGATATGCAAGTGGTTTAGTTTTGCTGGAAAAGAACCACATTACAAGAGAAAGGGTTCTAACTGTCAGGGTTTTTATTAGTTTTAATATCTCTGGCTGGCATGGAACTCTTGATGTAAGCCAGGTTGGCTTTGAACTCGTAGAGATCCTCTTGTTTTTGCCTTCTATGTGGTAGGATTAAAGGCATGAGCCACCACTCCAGATTTATTGTGCTTTAAAATACCAATTTAAATTAAAATTTAAAGTTAGCATTCAAAGTAATGGTCTTCATTATGACATTTTATACATACATCTCATTATGCTTCACTCTTAGATATTTATTTGGGGAGTGAATAAATAGCCGTCTTCTGCCCTTGGAGGCACACGACACTGCCAGGCAGGATGCTCAGACCACCACCCAAGAGAGAGATCAAGGCCCCTCTTATAAAAGGGATCATGTCCGCACACTGAAGCCACACCCTAAGGCATGTACCTCAAGTCTGTTGGAGGAACAAGATGCCACTCCACTTATTCACCCCTCCCTCACTGTTCTGTCGCTTCTTGCTGACACATTTTCAAATAAAACTTTTTAGGGTACTTTATGAACAATGCCAGTACATTGTCTGCCAGGAGCTACAAGAATTTAAAGAGAGAAATTAAGATTAAGGGCACTGACTGTAGTAAACTTCACAGAGAAAGCCTCATATGATTTGTGTTTTGTTAGATGCCCAGATTATAATGCTGAGAAATTAAAAATAGTAACTGATAGAATATTTTACATATAAAACCATTATGCTAATCTATGAACTTTTATACAAAAAAGATATCTGCAATCTTTGTTATTTCTAAAAATTATCTATGGGCATAAGAATCTTTACAAAGTTATAGTAACAGTAAAATTGTAGTAATAATAAAATTCCTATTTTAGCTCATTTTCCTATACTTCTAATTTTATAAGCACTTTACTACATAAACTATTCCAAATCTTTATCGTAATTCATTAAATCTCAAATTATGTCACTTGTAATGTTTATATGGATAGTTTATTTTTCCTCCATCAGCTGTGTTATTTTCTTGTAATAAATAGGTAGAAAGGGCTGGAGAGATGGCTCAGAGGTTAGGAGCACTGACTGCTCTTCCAGAGGTCCTGAGTTCAATTCCCAGCAACCACATGGTGGCTCACAACCATCTGTAATGAGATCTGGTGCCCTCTTCTGGCATGTAGACAGAACACTGTATATGTAATAAATAAATCTTTAAAAAAATAGGTAGGAAAATGACATACTAGGAATTATTTTCACGCGGAAGTAAAAGTCAATCCTCTCCTTCCACCTCGTAGGTTCTGGGGTCAAACTCAGGCTGTCAGGCTTGGAAACACACACTTTTGCTTTTCATCTTATTGATCCTAATTTTTTATTGCCTTTGATACATATTCAAATTGCATTTCTGAAGCTTTTATGCTGACACCCAAAGTAAATTTTTATGCCATGATACTGATCTCTCCCCAAGGTGGTCTTTTTGAAATGGTATTGACTTGGAGGACATAGGATACATTTCAGAAAGAGTTCTCCCTTTAGGAATACATTTAGGACATTTAAGATGAAGTGATAAGACCCCTGGGTTTATTTGTCACTAAACTGGAAGAAATAGTAGGGCAGGGTCATAGAAAAAATAAGATGGGCCTTGTTCTGTCTTTCTACAGCTGGCTTGAAGGTTGAAGGATAGTACATGCAAACTCATTATGCCAGCGCAATCACCGCTGTGTAGATCTGGACTTTGTCCATAGTAATTATGTGTTACATCGTGCCCCCCCCTCTCTCTCTCTCTCTCTCTCTCTCCTCTCTCTCTCTCTCTCTCTCTCACACACACACACACACACACACACACACAGACAGACAGGAGGTAGGGCCAAGGCTCCAATGTTGTTACTAGTGTTTTCTCAGTATGCACTGCTGTCCCAGCTCCTCACTGTCCACTTGTGAGTGGAGACAACATAAAAATAAGGCCAGAGCCTTGCAGAAGGAAAGAGCAGCTGCTCTCTAGTCCTGAACCTCCCTTCAAATCAAAGCCCTGGTGTTCAATTTTTAAGTTCATTGTGATGCGATGATACTTTTCTGATACCAATTCCTCTGAGAAATACCTTGAACAAAATTCACTAGTGATTTCATGCAGAAAGCAGGCTATCAAGTTTACCCATTCCACTTACCAAAGGTTCCATTGTGCACTTGAGACATTTCTGAGAAAATGGTGCTCTTCCCCGTCAAAGGCTGTTCAGAGGCACATGGTGTATCTTAGTGCGGTTGACCTCGTGGAGGACAAGCAAGTGCTGTGCATTAGCTAAAGCAAGAGCTCACCTTCATTCTTTCAAATCCGGGTTGTGACTCTGATATCCGTGACATAGAAAGTACCTATCATCATCCACCCAAGCAACACACTTTCACACATGTGGATGACATCCCCAGCCGCCCTGAAACTAGTGTCTTCTTTGCTTCTCTCCCTCAGAGCCTCACTCTTCTTTCGGTAAAAGTCTGCCTTCCCTGGTGTCTTCAAGGATGTAATCGCCAATGCATGCCCTATGAGCCTCTCAAAACAAAGCTGGCCCTGTGTGTGGCTGCTCACAACTGGCATATTCCAGAGCCCTTCACCCTTGGCACTCAGGGTTATAATGCTCGTAGGACTTTCCGTGTCCCTTACCTTGTTGGCGTTCCTGAGTCTGTGAACCTCTGTTGTTTTGGAGTATTGTTGAAGGGCTTTTCCATGTGGTTTCATCTGGAAGCTTCTGGTGGAATGTGATGACTTCAGGCTTTGCTAGTCTCTGCTGGGTCCCTATGCCTGTCTGGTTTATAGCCACATCTGCCTGGCTTAGTTCCTAGAATCCTTCAGTTTCCTACAATACAATCTGCTGATGTCATAAGCAATGTAATTTGAGAGATTAATAAATTGGCAGAATTTGCTTGTCTATTTTCTGTTCTTTAGTGAGTTTTTCTTTTTATTAAACATTGCTACAAAACCAGTTCAGTAGAGATGATGACTCTTTGGTTGTAGCTCTGAGAGTCCATCTTATCAACTCTTCCTGATCTATTTTCTTTGACTTCTGCTGCATTTAAGCCTTTTTGTTTGTTGCTGGTGTCTTTGTTCAGATTCTCAGGACGTACAAAACCAGATACATCCAAAAATGTATACAGGAGCTTGTATTCTCCGGGCTAGGAGTTCTGCTCTTCGTCACTTGATATCTTCTTAACAGAGGTACACTGGTCCTGAAGATTCAGTGACTGGATGTCCCTTCCCTCCCTGTACTCCCTCCCTTGCAGTCCCCTTTGATCCCTCTTGAAATCATGGCTTCTGTTTCTTGGGCTGCAATTGCTACATGTACACACACACACACCTCTAAATATATAAATACAACCTGCTACTCCATTTAGTGTTGCTTGTATGTATATGATTTCAGTCCGTAACAATTGGTATTGGATAGTCAGGTGGCTCATTCCTGGGGAATAGTATTTCTTCTCATATCAGTTCTCAACATTCTTTTTTTATTTTACGTATATGTGTGTACATGCGAGCCTGTGTGTTCATGAGCACAGCGTGTGCAGGAGGCAGCAGAGGTCAGAAGAGGGCATTGGACCCCATGGGAGTGGAGTTACGGGCAGATATAAACTGCCATGTAGGTACTGCTAACTGAACCCAGATCCTTTGGAAGAGCACCTGATGCTCTTAAGCACTGAGCATCTCTCTAACCCAGTGTGCCTATTGACGTTGTATTTGTAGGCTAAAATTGAAGGTGGGCAGTACTTCCCACACTACTTCGGACCTCATGCCCAAGGAAAAGTGTTATTACTCAAGGGACTGGATTGAGAGGCCTTGATGATAGCATTAGAGTGTGATGAAAGAGAAGGGAGTCAGTGCCAAGGTAAGAAAGCACAGAACAAACTTAACCAGGAGACTTGAAAGGGAGAGGCCCCTCCCTCCCCAACACACAGCATGCTGGTGTTCCTTGTTGCCCAGTAAGGTCTCAGGCATTTAGACTCTGGACAGTATTCAGCTTGACCCTGCCCCCAGACTGCCCCTTCTGCCACATCTTGCTTTTTGGCATCTGTGCCCCATATTTCAAAGCCCCACTCACAGAAGGGATTGGCCCTTTAGGATAGGTAAGATAAGCATTCAGGTGTGGGGACCCTGCTGGTCTGTGGGGAGATTGTCTTGAGTGTGAAGACACAGGCAGTAGTTGCCATCACAGCTATGGCAGTCTCTGTGTCCAAGCCTGTGATGTCTGGTCTGCTGTTTCCATTGTCCTAGTGGGACTTCAGGAAGGTGCAAGAAGTAAAAAGGGAGGAAATGAGGAAGGTAAGAGTGTAGGGATGGGTGAGCAGATGTTTGTGTAGGTAAACATGGAGTATGATGATCCTAGAGGAGCCAGTGGCTGGATAAAGTGTAGATCCAGATATATATATATATATATATATATATATATATATATATAGAGAGAGAGAGAGAGAGAGAGAGAGTATGATGGTCCTAGAGGAGCCAGTGGCTGCATGAAGTGTAGATCCAGATATATATATATATATATATATATATATATATATATATATATAGAGAGAGAGAGAGAGAGTATGATGGTCCTAGAGGAGCCAGTGGCTGCATGAAGTGTAGATCCAGATATATATATATATAGAGAGAGAGAGAGAGTATGATGGTCCTACAGGAGCCAGTGGCTGCATGAAGTGTAGATCCGAGACAGCCACATAAGCATCGTTATCATCATTAGCACCACCATGCCTATGCCCATGTGGGTACCACCATCTTGTTTACCTACATGGTTGCCCCTGGCTGGTAGTGGTTGGGCAGCTCCACATTACCAATGATGCATGAGTCCCCATCAGGACTGCAAATTCGTGCATCTTGCAGGCTTGTTATGGTTTGACTCAGCAACTGTAGATCAGTCACGTTCTGCCTTAAGTGCAGGACTTGTCTGGGAGTTACCTCCTGGTCTAATCAAAGGACTTGTGTAGTACCCACTGGTCTCTGTGTTGCATTGTCCTTGTCCTGCATGGCAGGGGAGGGGATCTAGGCACACTATCCGGCACACCCACAAGGCACTGTAAGCCAGACAGGAATGAAGAGGAAAGAGGTGGCATAGACTGATAGTCTCTGGACTGTTGGGGCTCCTGTGGGGTTCTGCCCTCCAGCTCCAAGTGAATTTGTATTTGGGACACTACATGATAGTTGATTGTGTATGTTACCAAAGAGTGTGGTGGGACTGTTTTGTGGCTTCTTAGTCTCAGAGATAAAATAATTTAAAAAAGGAAGCCAGAAGAAAAGTTGAGAACAATTTAATTAGAGAGAGAGAGAGAGAGAGAGAGAGAGAGAGAGAGAGAGAGAGAGAGAGGAGAGAGGACAAGTTGTAAATCTTGACAGCTTCCAGGAGAAGGGATGTTGTGTTGAATGCTGTCAACTTGGCAGAATCTAGGATCACCAGAGATACAAAGGAGGGAAGACCCACTGTGAGTGGCACCATGCCCTAGATCCTGGACTGTGTAAGAGTGGAGAGAGTGAACTGAGTACAAGCTTGTGCTCTGCTTGTCTGGAGCTCCTGCTTCTGTGACATCTCCACACTGACAGCCTGTCCACAGAGCTAAGACAAGTCCTCTGTCCCAGAAATTGCACCACATCAACAGGAAGGAGCTAAGATAGGGAAGATGGGTAGGAAGAAGAGAGAGAATCCCGCTTTTGAGTTAGAAATAAGTTTGTGAGCATTTGTATTGGGAGGGGGAGTGGAGGGAGAGGGAGGGAGGGAGGGTGGGAGGGAGGGAGGGAGGGAGGGAGGGACTGGAGTGTCAAGGCAAGCAGGACTAGGGTTTGTTGTCAGTATTCAGAACAAGGGAAGAGAAAGTAGGAAAAGAAAAGTTACACATTCTGAGGTACAACTCAGGTTTGATAATAAAGGTCTGCAAACCTTATAGTAGCATATATTATCAATAAATACCAAATATTCCTTTCACAACTTTCTCATTTTAAAAGGTGATTTTTATTTTCACCGTTATTTTCATTGTTGGTAGTGTGGAGGCATGCACTCGCTATAGGTGCACATGGGAGACCTCTCAGGGGTCCCTTCTCTCCTTCCACCAGAGACCCGGGATCAAACTGAGGTCACCAGTGATCAATAAACTCAACTGGATCAACTCCTTAAGGAAAGGACAATAGTACGTCTTTATAATTTATATTATTTTTTCATTATATTTTATTACATTTTTTAGAAAAAAAGCTTGCTTCACGTGTCAATCCCAGCTCCCTCCCCTCCTCCTGCACCCCTCCACCATCCGCCCCCCCCCCAGCTTCTCACTCTATCCCCACTCCCTTCTACACAGGGGATCTCCAGAGCCCATTGTTTTGTTCAGGGCAGGGTCCTGGCCCTCCCCCAAGAGTCCAGGCTGACAGAGCATCCCTCTCTGTGTTATGGACACACAAAGTCCATTGTATGCCAGGGATAAACACTGATCCACTGCCTAGGGCCCCATAGGTGGTCCAGGCCTCCTCACTGACACTCACATTCAGGGGGCCTGGATCATTCCCATTCTGTCAGTCTGGGGTCCAAGAGGTCCCTCTTGTTCAGGTCAGCTGTTTCTGCTGGTTTCACCAGCCCATTCTTTACCCATTTGCTCATCACTCCTCCCTCTCTGTCACTGGGTTCCAGGGGTTCAGTTCAGTGTTTAGCTGTGGGTGTTAGCCTCTGCTTCCATCAGTCACTGAATGAAGGTTCTAGGATGGCATATAAAGTAATTGTCAAACTCATTATCAGGGATGGGCATTTAAGATACTCTCTCCACTATTGCTTAGTTTGCCAGTTGTTGTCATCCTTGTAGATCACTAGAGATCTCACTGGTGCCAGATCTCTCTTCAAACGTATAATGACTCCCTCTATTATTCTCATCCTGTTCTCCCCTATTCTTCCCCCAACTCAATCTTCTTGCTCCCCCATTACCTCCTCTTTCTTCCTCTTCTCCCTCTCTCTTTTTCCCCCCCGCTCCTGCTCCTGTCCCCCACCCTGCTCCCAATCTGCTCAGGAGATCATGGCTCATTCTTCATCTCTGGGGTACCATGCATATCTCTCTTAGGTTCTTTCCTGTTCCCCATGTCAGTGGAGCTGTAGGCTGGCACTCCCCTGATCCATTTCCAAAATCCGTATTTGTCTTTTTGTGACTGGGTTACTTCAGTCAGGATGGTTTCTTCTAGTGCTGTCCATTTGCCTGCAAATTTCAAGATTCCATTGTTTTTTTTTCTGCTGAGTAGTACTCCATTGTGTAAATGTACCACATTTTCTCTATCCACTCTTCAGTTGAGGGGCATCTATGTTGGTTCCAAGTTCTGGCTATTACAAATAATGCTACTATGAACATAGTGGAACAGATGTTCTTGTTGTATGAATTTGCATCTTTTGGATATATGCCTAAGAGTGGAATTGGTGGGTCTTATGGTAGACTTAGTCCCATTTTTCTGAGGAATCTCCATACTGATTTCCAAAGTGGGTGTATGAGTTGGCACTCCCACCAGCAGTGGAGGAGTGTTCCCCTTTCTCCAAATCCTCTCCAGCATAAATTGTCATTAGTGTTTTTGATTTTAGTCATTCTGAGAGGAGTAAGATGGTAACTCAGAGTTGTTGTAATTTGCATTTCCCTGATGGCTAAGGATGTTGAGCACTTTCTCAAGTGTCTCTCAGTCATTTTAGACTCCTCTATTGAGAATTCTCTATTTAATTCTGTACCTCAAGTTTTAATTGAATCCTTTGGTGTTTTGGAGACTTGCTTCTTGAGTTCTTTGTAAATTTTGGAGATCAGCCCTCTGTCAGATATGGGGTTAGTGACATCTTTTCCCATTCTGTGGGCTGCCTTTTTTGTCTTGTTGACTGTGTCCTTTGCCTTACAGAAGCTTCTTAGTTTCAGGAGGTCCCATTTGTTAATTGTGGATGTCAGTGCCTGTGCCACTGGTGTTATGTTCAGGAAGCAGTCTCCTGTATCAATTAGTTCAAGGGTAACTCCCACTTTCTCTTCTAAATGTTTCAGTGTGGCTGGATTTATGTTGAGGTCTTTGATTCATTTGGACATAAGTTTTGTGCATGGCAATAGACATAGATCTATCTGCAGTCTTCTGCATGCCAGCATCCAGTTATGCCATCACCATTTGTTGAAGATGTTTTCTTTTTTCCATTGTATAATTTTAGCTTCTTTGTAAAAAATCAATTGTTCATAGGTGTGTGGGTTAAAATAGGGTTTTCAATTCGATTCCATTAGTCTACCTGTCTAATTTTGTGCCAACACCAGACTGTTTTCAGGACAATAGCTCGATAATAGGGCTTGAAGTCAGGGATGGTGATGCCTCTGGAAGTTCCTTTATTGTACAGGGTTGTTTTGGCTATCCTGGGTCTTTTGTTTTTCCATATAAGGTTGATTATTGTTCTTTCAAGGTCTGTGAATAATTGTGCCAGTATTTTGATGGGGATTGCATTGAATCTGTAGATTGATTTTGGCAAGATTGTCATTTTTATTATGTTGATCCTACCAATCAAAGAGCGTGGGAGATCTTTCCATTTTCTGGTATCTTTAATTTCTTTCTTTAGAGACTCAAAGTTCTTGCTATATAGGTCTTTCACTTGTTTGGTTAGCATTATCCCCAGATATTTAATGCTGTTTGTGGCTATTGTAAAGAGTGATGTTTCTCTGATTTCTTTCTCAGCCATTTATCATCTATGTATAATAAGGCTACTGACATTTTTGAGTTAACCTTGTATCCTGCCACTTTGCTGAAGGTGTTTATCAGCTGTAGGAGTTCCCTTGCAGAGTTTTTCCAGTCACTTTGTAAGCTATCATATCATCTGCAAATAGTGAAAGTTTGACTTCTTTCTTTCCAATTTGTATCCTCTTGATCTCTTTTTGTTGTCTTATTGCTCTTGCTAGAACTTCAAGTACAATATTGAAGAGATATGGAGAGAGTGGACAGCCTTGTCTTGTTCCTGATTTTAGAGAGATTGCGTTGAGATTCTCTCCATTTAGTTTGATGTTAGCTGTTGGTTTATTGCATTTTGCTTTTATTATGTTCAGGTATGTTCCTGTTATCCCTGATCTCTCTAAGACCTTTATCGTGAAGGAGTGTTGGATTTTGTCAAAGGCTTTTTCAGCATCTAGTGAGGTGATCATGTGGTTTTTCCTTTGTAGTTTGTTTATATGGTGGATTTTGATAGATTTTCGTATGTTGAACCATCCCTGCATCCCTGGGATGAAGCCTATGTGATCACGGTGGATGATTTTTCTGATGTGTTCTTGGATTCGATTTGTTAGTATTTTATTGAGTATTTTTGTATCAATGTTCATGAGGGAAATTGGTCTGTAGTTCTCTTTCTTAATTGTGTTTTTGTGTGGCTTAGGTACCAAGGTAATTGTAGCCTCATAAAGAGTCCTGCTTCTATTGGGTGGAACACTTTGAGGAGTATTGGTATTAGCTCTTCTTTGAATTTCTGGTAGAATTCTGCACTGAAGCCATCTGGGCCTGGGCTTTTTTTGGTTGGGAGATTTTTGATGATTGCTTCTATTTCATTAGAAGTTACAGGTTTGTTTAGATTGCTTATCTGTTTTTGATTTAGTTTTGCCAAGTGATATCTATCAAGAAAATTGTCCGTTTCCTTTAAATTTTTGAATTTTGTGGAGTACAGATTTTCAAAGTATGCCCTGATGATTCTCTTGATTTCTTCAGTGTCTATTTATTATGTCCCCCTTTTCATTTCTGATTTTGTTAATTAGCATGCTCTCTCTCTGCCTTTTGGTTAGTTTTGATAAAGGTTTGTCTATCTTATTGATTTTCTCAAAGAACCAAGTTTTGTTTCATTGATTCTTTGCAATGTTTTCCTTGTTTCTACTTTATTGATTTCAGCCCTCAATTTGATTATTTCCTTGTGTCTATTCCTCTTGGATGAGTTTGCTTCTTTTTGTTCTAGAGCTTTCAGTTGTGCTATTAATTCTCTAGTGTGACTTTTCTCCAGTTGCTTCATGTGGGCACTTAGTGCTATGAACTTTCCTCTCAGTGCTGCTTTCTGAATGTCTCATAAGTTGTGGTATGTTGTGTCTTCATTTTCACTGACTTCCAAGAAATCTTTAATTTCTTTTTTTTATTTCTTCCTTGACCCAGGGATGGTGCAATTGTGTATTATTCAATTTCCATGAGTTTGTAGGGTTTCTGCATTTTGTGTTGTTGTTGAATTCTAATTTTAACGCATGGTGGTCTGATAGGATACAGGGGGTTATTCCAATTTTTTTTTGTATCTGTGGAAGTTTGCTATGTTTCTGATTATGTGGTCAATTTTAGAGAAGCTTCCATGTGGCGCTGAGAAGAAGGTATATTCTTTTGTGTTTGGATGGAATGTTCCACAGATGTCTGTTAAACCCAGTTGGGTCATAACTTCAGTTAGTTCTCTTGTTTCTTTGCAAAGTTTTTGTCTGGAGATCCTGTCTAGTGGAGAGAGCAGAGTGCTGAAGTCTCCTACTACTAGTGTGTAAGATTTTATGTACAATTTGAGCTTTAGCAATGTTTCTTTCACGAATGTGGATGCCTTTGCATTTGGGGCATAGATGTTCAGAATTGAGACTTCGTCTTTTTAAAAATATTTTATTTATTTATCATGTATCCAATTGTCTGCCTGCATGCCAGCAGAGGGCATCAGAGCTCATTCAAGGTGGTTGTGAGCCACCATGTGGTTGCTGGGAATTGAACTCAGGACCTCTGGAAGAGCAGTCAGTGCTCTTAAACGCTGAGCCACCTCTCCAGCCCTGAGACTTCAGTTTAATGGACTTTTCCTGTGATGAATATGAAATGTCCTTCTTCATCTCTTTTGATTGATTTTAATTTGAAATCTAATTTGTTAGATACTAGGATTGCTACACCAGCTTGTCTCTTGGGTTCATTTGATTGGAAAAAATTTTCCCAGCCCTTTATTCTGAGGTAACATCTGTCTTTGACATTGAGATGTGTTTCTTGTATGCAGCAGAAGGATGGGTTCTGTCTTCGTATCCATTGTTAGTCTATGTCTTTTTATAGGCAAATTGAGACCCTTGACATTGAGAGATATTAATGACCATTGATTATTGATTCTTGTTTTTTTATTGATTGGTGGTGGTGTTATTGTGTGTAGGTTTTCCTCCCTTTTTCTTTTGTGTTTGGTAAGGTGGGATTATCTATTGCCTATGTCTTTATGAGTGTAGTTATCTTCATTGGGTTAAAGTTTTCCTTTCAGTACTTTGTGTAGTGCTGGATTCATGGATATGTATTGTTTAAATCTGACTTTGTCATGGAATATCTTGTTTTCTCTATCTATGGTAATTGAAAGCTTTGCTGGGTACAGTAGTCTGGGCTGGCATCCTTGTTCCCTTAGTGTTTGTTGGACATCTGCCCAGGATCTTCTGGCTTTCATAGTTTCCATTGAGAAGTGGGGTATAATTCAGATAGGTCTGCCTTTATATGTTACTTGGCCTTTTTCTTTAGCTGCTCTTAATATTTTTCTTTATTATGTATGTTTGATATTTTGATTATTATGTGGTGAGGGAACTTCTTTTTTTGGACTAGCCTATTTGGTGTTCTGTATGCAAGATTCTTGTATTTTCATAGGCATATCCTTCTTTAGGTTAGGGAAGTTTTCTTCTATGATTTTGTTGAATATGTTTTCTGTACCTTTGAGCTGTATTTCTTCACTTTCTTGTATACCTTATTCCCAGATTTGGCTTCTTCATGGTATCCCATATTTCCTGGATATTTTGTGTTAGGGATTTGTTGGACTCGAGATTTTCTTTGGTTGGTGACTGTATGTCCTCTAATGCATCTTCAACACCTGAGATTCTCTCTTCCATTTCTTGTATTCTATTGGTGATACTTACATCTGTAGTTCCTGATTGTTTACCTAGCTCTTCTATTTCCAGCATCTCCTCATTTTGTGTTTTCCTTATTGTTTCTATTTCAGCTTTCAAGCCTTCAATTGTTGAGTTATTTCCTTCATTTGTTTGGTTGTTTTTTTCTTGGCTGTCTTTATATTCTTTAAGAGATTTGTTTATTTCTTGAATTTTTGGTTCTTATTTTCCTCCATTTCATGTATTTTTGTTTGTTTTTTCTTCTATTTCTTTAAGGGATTATCTCATTTCCTCTTTGAGGGTCTCTATCACCTTCATAAAATCATTTGTAAGGTCTGTTTCTTCTGCTTCATCTATGTTGTGCTTTTCATGTCTTGCTGGTGTGGAGTCATATTGGTCTTTCTATTGCTGAGTGTGTTCTTACACTGTCGTCTTCCCATCCTTTCTTCCAGTGGGTGCAGGTGGGGTCTCTCTGTCTCCACTGGTCTCCCTGAAGCTAGGTGCATGGGTATGGGGAGAGTGGGGATGGGGCCTGGAAGGGCTCACTTCCTTCCTCTCTGAAGCCAGGAGGTCTTTCCTGTGTGGGCGGGTCCTCTCGATGCCAGGAGCAGGTGATGAGTGGGGAAGGGGTCCCCAGGAGGACCCAAGCTCACCTAAAGCTGGGCATGCCAAGGGTGGGGTCTGGAAGGACTCACATCCTAATTGTATGGGCGGGTCTACTTGATGCCAGGAACGGCATAGAGATTGAGGGAGTGGGTGATGGGCAGGGAAGGGGTCCCCAGGAGGACCCAAGCTCAAGTGAAGATGGGTGTTCCATATAATTTATATTCTTATGGGCAGTTTAGAATGTCATGTAGCTCAGGGCCAGAGGTAGAGCTCAGATTTCATTCTTTGCCCCAAAGTCATATAGCAAAACAGAAAGAATAATTCAAGATAGGTTAAAAATCAGATTTACAAACTACCATACCAGGAAGAAATTACTGCCTCTGCTGGAATTAAAGGCATGCACCACTATGTCCAACTTGAAATAGTTTTCTCTTAATTGTTGTTACAAAGCCCTGCTACCCCACCCTCCTCCTTTCATAGAATAGTTTGAATCTTAAGATGCAATTGTATGCTTCCTCCCTCTTCTGTAGTATTTCCAATTCTAAAAAAGACAAATGTGATATTCCCCTCTTTGTAAAATTAGTGTGTTACCAGGGAAACTATAAATGGGATCCAAAGCTGATTATGAGAGGGAGGGTTCATTTTCCATGGCCTCCAAGCCTGCTGATGCCCAGTTAGCTACCCAACATGTACATGGTACAAACTCAGCAAGACTTTCCTATTCTACCCTCTTAATTATTCCTGTTACTATTTCTACTAAAGCCCAGAATCATGTCTGCTTCAGTTTTGGATAGCTTTTTCATCCTTGTAAAGACTTTGTATTTAAAGCATCTTTTTAAGTCTCTTCTTGGTGGCCAACTCTAATTTTAGTTTTTATTTGAATTCTGCTTTGCCTAACAGGGCTGCAATTTCTTGGCTGGAGAAATGTCTTCCCAGTCAGAAAAAGACAAAGAGAGACTGATGCAAGCTGCCAAAGTATTCTTCTTCCACATCCAAGATCTGGCATCCTTCATAAATAAGTTTGTTGAGCTGTTTAACCTCACAATGAAGACTCAGATCCTTCCGATGGATCTGAAAGAAGACAGCTGCATTAAAGATTTCTTTGAACAAATGATCAAGAATTTTAAAGAGATGCAGGTGATGGCTGATGCAAAGCACAAACAAATGCAAAAGGAGCCTTTGTGCTCCAAGGTGGTGACCACTCTGACCTCTGCCGTGGAGAAGTGTGCCACCATGGGTCCACAGAACACAGCTAAAGACATGCTCAAAAATATCCAGAACCCAGCTGTTGCCTCTGTGATGAACAGTAGTCACATCCTTGGGAGTCTGGAAAGTTCTCTTTCACTTCTGATGCAGTTCCCCATCATGGGTCTTCGGTTAAGTGACTTCCATAGAGAAGAGACCAAAGAGCAGCCAGGTGCCACCACATCCGAGAAAAGCGTGAGTCCAGAACGTCCCAAAATCACTCCAGAGGATGCCTTGAAGAAGCTGCAAGATGCCCTAAGAACTGAGAATGCTAACAAGCCGGTAGAAGTAGCTGCAGATGAGTTGGAACAGTTTGTCAAGGCTATGGAGCCAACCTTACAGGTTCTTCAGAAAGCCATAAAGGCCATGGAAGGGGATATCTCCGCATTTAAGGAAGCTGGGGCCAAGTAGAGGTGCGATGGAAGATGTGTTCCTTCCTATCTGAAATCAACTGGAATTTTCCAATATTTTGTGGTACTTTGTGCATTCCATTAATGCTTATGTGAGGTATGTTAGAACTTAAATGCAGGGAGTCATCACTCGACAAACCACTTACCTGTAGCTCTGCCTTGTTACAATAAAAAGGGACAACCAAAGAAAGCCTGCTTGAATACAGTGACTAAGTAGAACGTCCTGCTGTAAGGACCAAGGCAGTATTACACTTGGGATTAGTCTAAATCTGTTGTTGCTCTTAACCCATAATTAAAGCAACTGATCTTTCCTTTTCACAAGTCTGTCTCCAGTTACAATACTCCAGGTAAGTGTTGGCATTATCATATGATAATCTATTCATTTCCATACTGTAATCTGTTCATTATCATATAATAATTAGGAGATATGACTGTTCACTCCTAGGAAATATACAACCCATGCTTTGTCATTCATACTGATATAGAATATTGAAGTCTGGTGATCACCTTGCTGGGATTTTCAGGTTTCTGAATCCCAGAAAAAAATCTGGACAGAGAAATCTGTACTATAGCAAAAACAGACATTCATTAAGAAAGGGTATGCTTTCTGGAGAGGAAGGAGGCTAGAGCTGGGACGGACATTAACTGCTCAGTAGTGTTGTGCTGGGAAGGTTGTGACCCTTGATGCTTAGTACTAGTCAATTGCATAGTTCAAGCTTCCTCACATGGCTTTTTTTTTACATATGCATTGGTGTTTGGTCTGCATGTTGCATGTCTGTGTAAGGGAGTGGGATTTACTGTATCTTGAGTTGTGAACTTCCATGTGGTTGCTGGGATTGAACCTGGGTCCTCTTGAAGTGGCCCCAATTTTACACACATTTTTGTATGGGCTTTTCTGCCAATGCTGTCCTATCTATAACATGTCTACATGAGTCAAAGTCTTCCCTCAGGCCAAATGTTTGGTTCAGGTTTTCCTTGGACCTCTCTCAGCCCTCTCCGGCCTCAGTACAATTTCTATAATGTGTAGTGTCTTAATTAGCACTAAATATTCCTTATATGATTTACTTAAGACTAAGTAAAATAACAAGTGGCAGTAATGTAATTTTCTTGTCTACATGAATAGGACCAGAGTACATAGTTTGTTCTCACCTATTTCCTTTAAGGTCCTAAGATAAGGGGATACTAGTAGTTAAAAAAAAAAAAGGTAGTTTTGTCAGGGTAGACAGAGAAGGACACACAGCTCCATTCACTCACTCATAGCAGACCAAAGGGTTCCTCTAGTATTTTAGGGGACATCATGTTGGATGAAACTAGTATTTGTGGCTTCAATGCAGAAAACAATTTTAGGACTAGCCAGTATAACAGAGTGGGGCTTGATAAAGATCGATGGTTAAGACAAAAAGGTTCCCAGAAGGAAAGCCACACCCCAGAGCATGGATGCAAGATTCTCCAAGAAGAGTCCAAGTTTATTAAAAGAGCATTTTCAATACAAACTTAAACGTGGTGGGGTGAGGGGAGACAAGCGTGGGTGTGAAAGTGGCTCTTCAGCCTGAGGGCTGAAAGGAAGCAGACACAGAGTCCCGCCTGAGACGGAAGCTTTGTAACTGACAGCTGCCGGAGGAGGGAAATCAGTTTCTCCAGTGGGCTGATGCTGGGTACATCAACCACACCCCAGGGCAGGCCCTAAGCCCAGGGGGGTTGACCAACACAGAACAAACTGTGTTCTTTTGGGTGCTTTTTGTTTTGTTTTTACTTTTGTCTTATTGGTGTTTTGTTTGTTTGTTTTGATTTTCCTGCCTTTGATAATTTTGAGAGAGGGAGAGAGAGAACACATGAAATTAGGTGGGTAGGATCTGGGAAGGGTTTGGGGGAGTAGAAAAACATGATCGAAATATTTGAAAATGTTTAAATAAAGAAGCACATTATAAGAAGAGTCATGCTTCATTCTTTGCAATACTTACATGCAGGACTTTGGGGGGCAGACATTTCCAAGGAAGCGAAATGAGGTGACAGGTGATTCCTGAGGGCACATGACCTGACTCGCTGTAGCTGTAGACCTCAGAGAGGCAGGGAGATGCCGGGACTTTACTGTAGACAAAGTTAACAGTCTCATTTGACATTCGCAGAAGATGTCCCGGAAAGGAAGGCCTGCCTTGCAATCTTTAATCCCTGTTTTTCAACTTCTCACTTGCCAATGGTTTTTTACACCTTGAGGTTCCAGAAGGTCAGTAAAATGACTGTTAAATTTTCCAAATCAAGATTAGATAGAGCCGGGGATGTCTCAGTTAGGAAATTGCTTCTCTTGTGTGCACCAAGCCCTTGGTTCAGTCCCCAATCCTGAGTAACACTGAGTGTGGTGGCACACACCTGTGAGGCTAGTGCACACAAGGTGACGACAGGAGGGTCATCCTAGCCTGAGATGTGTAAACCTTGTTTCAAAAAACAACACAACAAAAAAATTTAAAAACAAAATGAGTTAATCAGAAAAACAGTCAGCTGGAATTAGATCACTGGACAACTGAACCCCCAAAACAAATTATCCAGAAATTTTATTTCACTGTTCTTAAAAAGTATTTATTTATTATTATGTTATGGGTGTTAATCCTACATATATTTTATGTGCACATGTATGTAGGATTCCTCAAATGCCAAAGGAGGGCATTGAATTCCCTGCAACTGGAGTTTCATACTGTTGTGACCATGTGGATGCTGGGAATTGAACCTGGGTCCTATGCAAGAGCAGCCAGGAGTCTTGACTGCTGAGCCATCTCTCCAGCCCCTCTCCTGTTTTTTCAAGTAAAAGAGTACACATAGAACTTCAGATGGGCATATTAAAGAAAGCACGGCTCTATGGCGTAGAAATAAAATATTAAATGAATTCAGGATATTTTATATACACACACACAGAATGCTTAGTTCTTTTAATGAAATCACAATGAGAGATAGTCACTATGTGTCTTGTCTAGTAGTTTATTTAAACAGTCCATATCAATTTATTTTTGAGCATTAGTTTTACCTATAGAAGATATCCCAGACTAACAGGAAGAGAAATGAGATATTACAGTGAAATATCTAAACGAGTCTATAGTTCCATGAGTGTGTGTGTGTGTGTGTGTGTATGAGAGACTACATGTGTGTATGTGCCTGTGTTTGCACACGTGTACGTGGGTGTGTGATGTACGTGTGGGGGTCAGAGGACAGCTTTCAGGAGGCTCCTTCTACCATGTAGATTCTGGGGATCAAATTCAGCTCGTCAGGCGTAGCAGGAGGTGCCCTTACCACAGAGCCATCTTGCCAGCCCCATGCTGTGTGGCTTTAAGTGTCACCCCAGTCACCTTACTCCTTCCTCTGCCAGTCCTAACTATTCCTTGGCTCTGTGAACTTGAGGGCCACCCCCTTTGCCTCTCCTTTCTCAGCTCTTCCCACCCGGAAGCCGCACCTCACCCAAACAAACCCTCATCTCCGCTAGAAAACTTCTCATCCGGGGCCCAGCGGCGTCTCATTTTCTTCGCTGTCCCATGTCTATGGTTTGCACTTGTGTTGACCACAGCACACTACCACATACAGTGTCTTATTGTCCTCCCTCCCTCCCTCCCCTCACCCCTGCACCAGACATCCCACGGCCTGGCTCAAATGCCGCTCCACCCGAAGCCTTCCTGGCTCTTCAAGGCCTCTTTCAAGATGCTTAGACTCCCAGGAACATGAGTTGATTCTTCTTTCTTTTGATATTCCTCTTGTGACTTGTTTTTGTTTCAAAATTTCTTCTTAGAGATTACAAATTTGTGAGAGATCTGGTCAAGTACATATAACTTTTAGAAGTAAGAAAAAGTTTATCCCTGCTGCTCTCTCTCTCTCTCTCTCTCTCTCTCTCTCTCTCTCTCTCTCTCTCTCTCTCTCTCTTTCTCTCTCTCTCTCTGTCTCTCTCTCTCCCTCTGTGTGTGTGTGTGTGTGTGTGTGTGTGTGTGTGTGTGTGTGTGTGTACATGTGCATATGGAGGTTGGAAGGTAGCTTTGGGAGTTGGTTTTTCTTTCCAACCTTGTTTTTCAGGCAGGGGGTCTTTTATATATATATATATATATATATATATATATATATATATATATAACATATCTGTTCAGCTGGCTGCCTGTGAACTTCAAAGAGATTCCCCTGTCTGATTTCATCTCACAGTAGAGGTAGTGGGGTTACAGGTGCACGTGACCATATCTGGCTTTTCACATGATCTCCAGAGATCATATTCAGGCTGTTGGGTCTGTGCAGCAAGCCCCTTTACCTGCTGAACCGTTTCGTCCACCCTATCCTCAGCTTCTAGCCCCCAAGACCCTTTGTGTATCACACAGCTCAATAAAGGCATTTATATGGCACGAAAAAGAAATAGATGCCGGGTGTTGGGTGACTTTTCCTGCTGTGTTGTTTCGTTGCTGCCCCTCCAGGGCTCGCTGCCAAGCTGTTCCCAAACAGCGAAGGTGAACAGGAGCTGTCTGTGGACATTCTTGTTCCTTGTGTTGGGTAGCTTTATGGCAACCTGACACAGGCTATATTCATTTGAGAGGTGGGAACCTTGATTGAAAAAAAAAAGTGCTTTTATAAGATTGGGATGTAGGCAAATCCATAGAGTTAATTAAGTGATTGATGAGGGAGGACCCAGCCCATTGTGGGTGGTGCCATCCCTGGGCTGGTGGTCCTGGGTTCTATAAGAAAGCACACTGATCAAGCCATGAGGAGTAAGCCAGTAAGCAGCTCTCCTCCATGGCCTCTGCATCAGCTCCAGGATCCTGCCCTTTTAGTTCCTGCCCTGACTTCCTTCGGTGATAAACAGGTAGAAGTATAAGGCGATCAACTCCCCCGCCCCAGTTGCTTTGGTCACAGTGTTTTGTTGCAGGGGTAGTAACCTAAGTCCGTCCTATTAGTCTGGGACTCCCAGCTGTAGGATGACAGTGTGTTTATGGGTGGTTTCCATAACTAGCTATCCATTCTGTTTCTGGATGATAGCATGGCCCCTCCCACACTCCTCTCTAGGACAGATGCGCTGGTTTCCACTTCTGATGTTTTCTATCTCAGTCTTGTTCAAGGGGCTGAGAAATGCATAATGTGGTCCCAGTTCAAAGCCACCCCACACTCCAAGGGCCTAAGGACAGTTCAAAGTCAGCCCACACTCCATTCACTTCAACAGGAGGGCCTTTGGAGATCAGGTCTGAAATAAAGCTGTGCACTTCCTGAGGGAAAGGCTGGGATGTGTTTCCAGTTGTGGATTTTGGTAATTTATATTCTGCATCTCATAGTACATAATGGAGCTCAGATATTTTGGTAATTTGATAACTAGTTTTTTTTTCCGTTTTCTGCCTTTGACTTCCACACATATCCTTCCCCCCACAACATATCCTTTTCTATAAAGATCTGAGATAAAAATTTCCATCTAGTCTATAAAGTAACATGCCTAAATTCCAGTTTTTAATGGTGTTTTAGGAACATGTGTGTAGGAACTTGTTACAGGCCTGGCTGAGATTTGCTAACTGACAGAATGCCTTGGTCACAAGACAGGACTTCTATAACGATCTGTTGATCAGACTCTCACAGCAGAGAAAGAATGCGGAGCTGTAGCCGCTAGCACCCTGTGGCTGCATAAGGGTCGCAATCATCCTGCACCTGGAACTGCTCTGGTGCCCGGTGGCGGCATCCTAATGAAAGACCCCTACCCAGGGCCCCCTAGGAAAACAAAAACAAGACCAGGCCGTTGTCTAATGAAAAAACCCAGACCAGGTGCCTCGCCCAGCTGGCAGGATGTCAAACAGGATCTGTGGTCACCAGAGCAGTCATGGGACCCGGATAATAATTGCTGAAGCGTGCCGGGGTCTTTCGTGAGGTAATACCAGGAAACTTAGTCCGTGGGAACTACCCCTGCCCCCAAGATGAGCCAATAAAATGCCTATTGCTATGCTGATACTTATGTAACCATTAAAACTCTATAAATATTGTGTTCCCTGCAAGCCCACTATGCTCTGCACCTGAGTTGCAGTAGCATCTGCAGGCGCCTGTGTACTCAATAAATCACTTCTTGCATTTGCATCCAGTGGTCTGGCCCCGGTTCTTGGGCAGAGGGTTCGGTTCAGTGCCCGGTGCTTTGATGCCGAGGTCTTTCACTAAGAGGGGCTGCGTACTGCCCTGGCCCCTAAGGGTGCAAGCAGCACTGTCCTCCACTATAAAGAGTCACCGCCTGCCCTTCCCGACACAAAAGCCCCATTCCCTCCGGAGAGCGTTTAGTCGTTCCCTGTTTTGGAACAAACAGTCCGGTGTATTGAGGTCAGGCTGTACTAAATTTCCCATCTTCCCTCTTCCTATGCTGCCTAAGAAATGTAACACCGCTGTATTCCATTCTTCTCTCTCAGCTTTCCACACGTCCCCCTTTTGAGAGTACACTGATTTGATCTTGAATGCTGTCAAAAATCTCTGAAGAAGAATCGTTTGTTTTCCTACTCAGTCTTCTTTGATTTGTTACTAAGTTAAAATGTGAAATAAGTCTGTATTCACGACCCTCTCCAGCTGCTTGGGATGGAAAACATAGCCCAGATTATGTTAGCAAAGACAGCGTTTATTGATTCCTGTAATGAAGAAGCTTAATGTATGCCTCAGACATAGTTTGACTCCAGAGACTCACCTCACGCTCTCACCTGTCCTAATTCTTCCTATTTCTTAGCTCTGCCTCCCTTGAATTAGTGCCCCAGGGAGGCAGATTCTTCTCTTTGTGGCAACTCCGAGTGCACATGTATTCCGCTTCTGCTAATCACCCAAAAAAGCGACTCCTGCCTGCTGTGCTCCTAAACTAATCTTGAAATCGTACCCTGGTTGTGTCTTATCGGCTATAACTGGATGGTCGTCTCTCTCACATGGATCTCTGGCCATCTCACAGACAGGTGGTGTCCTGATTGGGTCAGAATGCGCCTGGCAAAGAGGACAGCACGCGCTTGAGCAATAGTGTGATAAAGGCCTTTTCTAGTTCTCCTTAGGCAACTGCAGCAGGAGAGTGGTCCTTTGTGAGGAGGACCCCCTTCTCTTCTTAGAGCGCCTTGAACGTTAACACCTTCTTGTGGGTTGAATGTTAATGCTCCTTATGTGTTTGAGCTCTTTTGTCCCCTGACCATGGATCTAGAATCTTCAGGAGGTGGAGCCTTGCTGGAGGAAGTGAGTCATGGGTCCGGGGCGGGGCGGGGCGGGGCGGGGGCGGGGCTTGAGGCTTGGTACCCTGCCCGACTTAACCATCTGTAGTGCCTGGTGCTCCTGGTGCCAAGCCTTTTGGGTCATGATGATCTGTACGTTTATAAGTAAAGCTTTCCTTCCCAACTTGGAGCTTCTGCCTTTGTTTGGTTTTGGTCACAGCAACAAGGAAGTAACCAATATAGATCCCTTTTAGTAGGGATTTGAGACAGTCGTCTTCTGCCTTAGCTAGGGCTACTTTTGAATAAACTTCTTTTCTTCCATCAACTTCGGTCTCCCGTGTCTTCTGTGCTGTGGTGGGAAGTGTGGACCTCAGATTCTGATAACTTGATAGTTCTGATAATCAAGTTTCTTTAAAAAGGAGCCAGTGAATTCCTTTACTCTCTGGTTTTGGAAGAGATAACAACACTGACCAAAAGGAGGCAAAGAGTAACCATTAGATCAGGGCTGCATTTCTTGCTGGAAGCTGTGAAAAAAAAAAGACACAATTTAGAGATGAGTTAGACTGGAGAGATTTTTAAACATTTATTTTTAAAGAAGGGTGTGGTGGCACACGGTTTTAATTCTAGCACTTGGTGCCAGAGGCAGGTGGATCTCTGAGTTCAAGGCCAGATTATCTACCACACAGCAAGTTCCAGGCCAGCCAGGGCTATGTGGTGAGGTGCTACCTATAAATAAATAAATAAATAAATAAATAAATAAATAAATAAATAGATATCTCCACACACTCACACACACATACACACACACACACAGACACACACACACACACACACACACACACACACACACACACACACACACCTACCTACCTGAGATGGGATCTCTCTGTGTAGTTCTAGCTGGTCTGGAACTTGCTATGTAGATAAGCAGCCTCTAAGTCACAGAGATCCACCTGCTTCTGACTAATGTGCAATGTTTGTTTCATTTGAAATACATGTGTGTGTATGCGTGTGTGTCTGTGTGGAAGCATGCACATATGTGTGGAGGTCAGAGGTCGAACCTGGGCTTCTTCCTCCATCACTCTTCCGCTTTGTTTTTTGAGACAGAGATGCTCACTGACCCTGGAGCTCACTGATTGGCTAGAATCGTTGGCCATGAAGCTCTGGGGTCCACCTTCTCTACTTTCTGTTCCCTTCAGTGCTACGTTTACAGATGTCTGCCAGCCTCTCTGTTTAACCCTCACAACAAACTTGAGAGGTATTTATTTTCCTTGTCTTACTTTTGTAATTGGTAACATTGTAGCAGAGAATGTGAATACCACTCAGGTAGTGAGGGCAGCAGAAGCAGCCTCATTTAGTCTGCTTCCTCTTTGAGAGGCTTTTTCCTCAGACACTTAAGAGACTAACTCTCCTCCCTCCCCACCCCATTCCTGCATGCCCCTTTCTGATGAGCATCTCTTAATTACCCATCTTAATATTGCAGCTCTCCCTACAGCATCCCCCAGTCTCTGATCCTGCTCAGTTCTGTTCAGTTACAGGTAGTTGTGAGTTGGCTGATGTGGGTTCTGGAAAGCAAACTCAGGTCCTTTGTCAGACGAGTACATGTTCTTAACTCCCAAGGTGGTTTGAATGTAATTGGGCTCCATAATCTCATAGGGGGTGGTACTATTAGGAGGCGTGGCCTTGTTGGAGGAAGTGTGTCACTGTGGGGGGGGGCTTTAAGGTTTTCTATGCTCAGTTGTAGTTGACTTCCTGTTGGCTGCAAGATGAAGCACTCTCAGCTCCCCTAGCGCCGTGTCTGCCTGCTCGCTGCCGTGCTCCCCACCGTGATGATAATGGATTGAACCTCTGAACTGTAAGCCACCACCTCAATGAAATGTTTTCTTTATAAGAGTTACTGTGGTCATGGTCTTCACAGCAATAGAGCTGTAACTAAGACAACTGCTGAGCCATCTCTCCAGACCCCAGTTATTATTATTTTTTAATGCCAACCTCTCAGGTTAAATTAATGTTTCCTTCCTGTTAATCCTTAGAATATTCCCTAGCAAAAAGTGGGCACTTAAAATGTAGTAGACCTCGTCTTTCAGTGTCTGCCTCTGTCCTTACTGTCAGTCTCACTAAAGTTCGTGTTTATACCATTAACTCATCATCCCCTTTCCATGTGCAAAGGGTTTCCCAGTTTTTTGCTTCTGTTTATGTGGATAGTGGACACCTAAGTCCTGCCTTGTCATTTCCACAAGCAAGCACTGTTCCATTTCATAAGCAGAGTAACCGGCTTATGTTGGACCTAAGAAAGGCTCAGATGCGAGGTCCAGTGTAAGCTCCTGAGCCTGGCTAGAGTTCGTCGACCTGTCTCTCACCTGTAACCCCCATTAGAGGGTGACTCAGGCAGACCTGATGTAAGGTTGCCCCCTGCCTAGCTACCTGCCTGTATGGTGGAATACTATTGGCCCTCACTTCTCAGGTTACCTTACCCTATCCTATGATTCCCATCCCCTACTTCAGCCCTATATAAGTTCCTGCCTGTTGGAATAAATCGAGATCTCTGCGACAGACTCCCCACTCAGTGCCCCCACCCCCGGAAGAGACCGGCTGGACCAGCCCTTGGACAGGCCCTTCCCCCGCTCTACCTGCAGGGAGGACTCTGCAAGCTCAGATGATGGGGAAGTCCTGTGTATATGTCAATAAAGCACTGTTGGCCAATAGGGAAGCAAGATAGGTGGGACTAGGAGTCCAGGAGGATTCTGGGTAGGAGAAACACAGGAAGTCAAGATGTAACCGCCATAGGGGTAAGAAGCCCGGAAACTTTTCTCCGGTAAGAGAAATACTTAGATTAACAATTATGGGGTAAATACTTAAGTCAGAGCTACCCAGTAAGAAACAAGCAAGGCCAACAGCTTCATAATTAATACAGTGTCTTGTGTGTTATTTGGGCACTACAACGCGGCAGAGCCCAGGCGACTGGCGGGGGAAAAATCAAAGCAGCTGGCAAGGAAAAGGCTCTCTCTATATACTCAGAGGTTCAGGCGTCATTACGAGGTCTCACAGCTGCTGACACACTCTGACTCCAAAGTCTACACACTTTTTACCCCACAGGTCAGATTCAGTTCTTGCAGACCTGGTCTCAGCCTAGAGCTCACTATGTAGTCCAGACTGGCCTTGAATTTATATGTAGCAATCCTCTGTGGAATAATCCTTGACAGTGTTTGGATGTATCACTGGTTGGTTCAATAAAGAATGTAACCGGCCAGTATCTGGACAGGATAAGATTATGTGGGAGGACCAGGCTGAGGATGCTGGGAAGGAGAAGGGCGGAGTCAGAGGAGTTGCCAGCCAGACACAGAGAGGAAACAGGGGGTGCAAGATGAGAGGTGATGCCACATGTCAGAGTGTAGATTCCTGCAAATGGGTTAGTTTAAATTGTAAGAGCTAGTTAGTGATAAGCTGGAGATGCCAACCGAGTTCTTCTAATTAATAAGTCTCACTGTGGTTATTTGGGAGCAGCTGAGGGGGGCACAGAGAAACTCTGCCTACAATTCTCCTGCCTCAGCCTCCTCTAGTGCCAAGATTACAGACCCAAGACATTATCAGCAGCTCTAAATTATTATTATTGTTATTTTTATCATACCCATTCCCTGAGACAGTCACTCTACTTCCAGGTCGGTGGTACACCACAGGCAGGAGGAAGATATTTCCAGAGAACTGAAGTCCAGAGTAAAACAAAACAGGGAAGAACCGTAATGGAGCTGGATGTTTGAATCCTTCCAGCCTCAGAGGGCCTGCTAAGAGCCTTCCCTCACTCATTTTCCTCTCATCAGACTCTTACAGGGCACGTTTAAATAATAGCTTCCCCACTGCATGCACAGCAGCAGGCTCAGAGACAAAGCCACTCCCCCAGGACCACAACACTATTGCTTTCACTGGCAAAGGTCACAGGTAAACCAAGCTGTTACAAACAGCTGGCTGTGTTTTTCTAGAAGCATGCCTGGAATTTTGATGACTTGAAATATTTTGACATAAATCCTTCTTTGTAAATCCAGTGATAAAGAGCAGATTGTGTGTGCTTGTATGTGTTGGCGTACATTGTTTTGCTGAAAGGAATTACTTAAGGGAGAAAAACAAATTAATATTCTGTTGGTGTAGTTTGAATCTTTTAATAAACATGAAAACATGTTACTATGGTAAACGGTATAGATCATGTGAGGGGCAACAAAGTAATTACAAGGGAGACAGGGTAGTTTGGAATGTATTTTCTCCCTTGAGTCTGTTTTGTTACCAGTTTGAACCCTTGCCTTATCTTTGAATGTTTCAGGTCCTTGGTACTTGACCTCAGGGTGGGTACAAGTTCACAAGACTGCAGGTTTATTTTGACATAAACCAAAGGACTGGGCAAGTTTTTTGTTTTTTGTTTTCTTAATATACTCTTTTTCATTGAGACAAAGACAGTATCCTAACTGGTTAATTTTAACAGTCTGGTTTTTTTGTTTTGTTTTGTTTTGTTTTTGTTTTTTTGTTTGTTCTTTCTTGAGGCAAGGTCTCATGTAGCACAGGCTAGTCTCAAACTGCCTACATAAGCTAAGACAGACTTTAAACTCCCAATCCCGTTTCTTCTTCCCAAACACTTCGATTAGAGGCATGTGCCACCAAGTCTGGCTGTGTGTCGTCTTTTAAAGAATTCCTCTCTTGTCGGGCAGTGGTGGTTCTCACCTTTAATCCTAGCACTGGGGAGGCAGAGGCAGAGGCAGGGGGATCTCTGTGAGTTCCAGGCCAGCCTGGTCTACAGAGTGAGTTCCAGGATGGGCTCCAAGGCTACAGAGAAAGCCTGTGTTGGAAGAAAAGAAGAATCTGTCTCTTGAGTTACAGGGAAGAGGAGGGAAAGCATGGTCACCTTGCACAGGGACTTTGGGGACAAGTACTCGAGTATGGCTTTTGCTATGGAAAGATAATGAAAGAAGGAGAAGCAGTCTTGGGAGAGGATTTGTGTTTCCTAAAGAATTAGGTATCAGTGTTCCAGAACATCCCTGAGTTCCCTAGACAGACCTCAGTGGGAGAAGCTCTGTAGCAGTTATCTACAGAATTCAGGTCTGGGGAGGGTGCACTGGCCCTACTTAGGAAAGGAACTGCCATGATAAAAATCTGTGGCATTAAGGTTAGATGTGGTGGCGCATGGCAGCAACCCTAGCACATGGGAGGCAGAGGCAGGAAAACCAGGAACTTGAATAGATAGAAAGTTCTGGGACAGCCTGAGACCTCGTCTAAAAAGAAAAGAAAACAATTGGTAGCACCCGTCTCCTCCCAGGGTTCACGTGTGGATCACTGAGATACAGTTCCAGGAAGTAGGATAACTAGAACATTATCAATGGACACAGAAAACACCGACACAGTCGGCTGAGAGCATCCCCACCAGTCAAGATAAGCAGGTGCTAACTGTGTCCAATTCAAGATCGTACTGTCCTCGGCCACTCTGTCCTCAGCTAAAGAGAGCCTGAGCAGCTAGACTGTGGCAGATGAGGCTGGGGGAGGGGGGGTCTCACAGTGCCAGCAGGTGGGCCAGTCTCCTCTTTCCTTTCCTTCAGAGTCCATGCTCAAAGGAAGAAAGAGTCCCTCCCCCCCCACCCCCCATGTCTCTCCTTTTACCCTTCCAGACACTTCCACAGTTGGGGCAGCTAGGAGGACACCAAATGCTGGTGCAAAGCTGTTGGCTGACATGTCTCTTCCCTTTTCAGTTTCTGAAAAAAAAATGTCACCTAGAAAGTAGTGGCCCGCCCACTCAAAAGGCCACCAGTCCTTTCGGGAGGCCACACAAACTTGTAATTGACACCTTCCTGGAAAAACAAACATCCTTTGTTTACATTACAAAAGAAACGGTTGCATACTGCCAGTGAGGCACTGTGGGCATTCATGCTGACTACAGCTCCTTTCTCCTGACAAGGGGTTGCATCTCCAGTCATAAGCTTCAGCTCATCGGGTGCCAGAGCTATTTCTAGCCTTGTGACTTATACAGTGACTAGGAGATGAGGGAAGTTTCATTATCCGTGCACTCAACCACAGGAGGCTGACCTCTCTGGCACGGGACTGAAGTTTAAGAAATTTAGCATCTTATTTTACTTAATCTTCATAAAAGCCTTAAGGGGTTATGCTATAGCTCTCTTTGGATTCAGGGCCTCGAGCATGCTGTACACTCGCTCTAGCCTGGTGCTCATCCTGTAGAAGAGACACTTGAGGAGGAGCTTAAGCTACTAGGTCATGTAGCTAGTGAGCGGTACAGATGATTAAGGAGTCACACAAGGGGATCTGGGGTCAAGCTGCCCAATTCCCGGCCTTGCTCTTGAATACCTGGTTCTCCAGGCCCTGTCCACAAAGGGAAACACAGGGTCATTGGTTTTCATAAGTATGTTATGGCTTCAAGTATTCAGTGAAGACAAACCAGATATCCAATGTCTGATAATATATATGGCTATCACAGTTAAGTCTTAACTCAAGGCTGAGTTAAGTTGTGTTTAAGTGGCTTCATTACAGAGGAGCTGTGTGTGTGTGTGTGTGTGTGTGTGTGTGTGTGTGTGTGTGTGTGTGTGTGTGTGATTGATGGACCAGGGCCCAGCCCATTGTAGGTGGGGCCTTCCCTGGGCTGGTGGTCCTGAATTCTATAAGGAAGCAGGCTGAGCAAGCTGTGGAGAACAAGCCAGTAAGCAGCACCCTCCATGGCTTCAGCATCAGCTCCCTCCTGCAGGTTCCTGCCCTGACCTCCCAGGATGATGGGCTGACTCCAAGCTGTAAGATATTATAAATCCTTTCTTCTCCAAGTTGCTTTTGGTCATGGTGCTTATCACAGCAATAGAAACCTGACTATGACTCTGCATTTTTAAAGGTTTGCTTACTTTATGTTATGTGTATGAGTGTTTTGCCTGAGTGTGTATGTCTGTATGTCACATTGCATGCCTGATGCCCACAAGAGCCAGAAAAGACATGAGACCTGGATCTGGAGTGTGAGTCACCATGTGGCTGGGTCCTGGGAACTGAGTCTGAGTCTTCTGCAAGAACAGTCAATACTCTTAAGCCCTGAGTCATCTTTCCAACCCGTTTTAAGGAGAAGGTCTCACACATCCTAGGCTTGCCCTGAACTTGCTGTGCAATGAGAGGGGGACTCTGGACTTCTGATCTTCCTGCCTGTAACACCACACCTGGTTTTATGCCACACTGGGTTTCAAGCCAAAGGCCTTTGTGTTGGTCAACGCCCTCCCAGTTGAGACACAACCCCAGCCCCGAACCTCCTACCTCTTTTTGTTGTTCTTTCTGTTTGTATCTGTTGTTTTTTTTTGTTGTTGTTGTTGTTTTGTTTTTTTTGTTTGTTTTTTGAGACAGGGTTTCTCTGTATTGTTTTGGAGGCTATCGGTCCAGCCCAGCCTCGAACTCACAGAGATCCGCCTGCCTCTGCCTCCCGAGTGCTGGGATTAAAGGCGTGTGCCACCACCGCCCGGCGTGTCTGTTGTTTTTGTGATAGGGCCTCACTAATAGCCCAGGGTGGCCTTGAACTCATAGAGATCCACCAGTCTCTGCCTCCCAAGTGCTGGATTAGAGTTGTGTGTGCTATCATGCCTGGCTGTTGTCCTCCATACAAGGCCAATCAGGTCCACCAAAACCTACTGCCTGGGTAAGCCCCCTAATTCTTCTCTAGGCCTCTCTCCTTTCCACACACGGCTCCCCAGCCACACTGGGCTCCAGCGGTTCCCCGTGATTTCACTGAATGTTTTCTTTCTTTCACTAAAAATCTCCATGCCCATTTCAAGTCCCATATAGTCTTCTGTTGGGAAGCCCACCTCACTTTCCCCCGAAGCAGAGCATCTCCCTTCATGGACCAGCCATAACTCACAGCTCAAACATCTGCTGTATCACTTGGTACTTTCAGATTTGTACATTAGTTTCTGCTTTCATTGTTCATTAGACTAAAATCCACCCCCTCCCCCGGGGATAATGATTTTTGTTAGATTCATTCTGTGTTGCCAGGGTGTCCAGTCATAACGGAATAGGGTTAACAAATAGAAAACTAGAAAGTAAAAATTTTACTCTTTGTGTTAATTTGAGAACTTCTTATTCATATAATGACCTTGACCTCCCTCCTGAAGAAAAATGTTTGATGGAGAAGTTGAAAAAAATATATCATGTACTATCTATCTCCTGTTGTGTATTGTTACTTTAACTATGTAAAGATGTTTTACATTTGTTTATGTTACAGAATATTGCTTTAACTATATAACGCTGTGTTGTATTTGTTTAATTAGGCAAAGACGCGTTACAGTTGTTTATGCTGTGTTTGTTTAATTATGTAAAGATGCGTTGTATTTGTTTTACTTTGCCTGCCTAAGGTACCTGATTGAACCAATAAAAAGCTGAATTGGGAGGGGGTAGCTGAACAGCCAATAGCTAGGCAGTAGAGGGCTAGGCAGGGCTGGTGGGCAGAGAGAATGAGTAGGAGGAGGAATCCAGGCTTGGGAGAGAAGAAGAGGAAAGAGAATGAGGAGGAGGAGGAATCCAGGCTTGGGAGAGGAGGAGAGGAGAGAGGATGAGGAGGAGGAGGAATCCAGGCTTGGGAGAGGAGGAGAGGAGAGAGGATGAGGATGAGGAGGAATCCAGGCTTGGGAGAGGAGGAGAGGAGAGAGGAGGAGGAGGAGGAGGAATCCAGGCTTGGGAGAGAAGCAGAGGAGAGAGGATGAGGGAGAAAGAGAGGGAAGTGCCTAGGGCCAGCCCGCCAGGAATGGGGGAAACAGTGCGAGTAGGACATACAGAATGAAAGCAGGTAAATAAGCCCCAAGGAAAAACGTAGAAGAAGAGAAACCGCTTAAATTAAGTTATAAGAGCTGGTGGAACAATCATAAGACAAGGGTGAGCATTCATAACTAATAATAAGTCTCTGTGTCATGATTTGGGAGCTGGTTGGTGGCCCAACATGGGGCTCCAAATGTATCAGGCTTTCTCTTGGGCCACCAGCCAGCTCCCAAATCATGACTCAGAGACTTATTATTAGTTATGAATGATTAGCCTTATCTTATGCTCTTTTCTTGCTAGCTCTTATAACATATTAATCGGTTTTTCTTCATCTGTGTTTTGCCTTGGGGCCTTTTAACTTCCTTCCTTCCTTTCTTTCTTTCTCCCTTCCTTCCTTTCTTTCTTTCTTTTTTCCTTCCTTCCTTCCTTCCTTCCTTTCTTTCTCTCTTTCTTTCATTTTTTCTATGTACTACTTTTCACTTCTCCCCCATGTTTTGGCTGGCTGGTAGCTGGCTGGCTAGTCCTGGGCATCTCTGTCTCTTTTCCCCTTGTTTTCTCCTCTTTTTTTCTTCTCTCTAGAGCCTTCTCTTGTGTATCATTTCTGCTTGCCAGCCCTGCCTATCTCTCTCCTGCCTAGCTATTGGCCATTCAGCTTTTTATTAGACCAATCAGGTGCCTTAGGCAGGCAAGGTGAAACAAATGCAATGCATCTTTGCCTACTTAAACAAATGCAGCATAAACAACTATAACACATCTTTGCCTAGTTAAACAAATGCAACATAAACAAATGTAACAATCTCTACATATAGTACTATTCCACAGCGTTATCTCCTCCAATCAAGGCTTCTTAAATGTCTGTATTTTCCATGTAACACAGTAAATCCTTCTTTACCATCAATTTTACTTTCTCAAGGTTTTATCAATTTCTAGTCAACTGTGGTCCGAAAATTATGCTGGGAGAATTCCAGAAACATCACAATTCATAGATTTTAGATTAGGTATCACCCTGAGTAGCAGAATGAAATCTTGTGTAGTGTTGTTTCATGAGGATTGGGATGAGAGTCATATCTTCGTCTAGGGTTTCCATACTGTATATGCTACCCACCTATGTGACTCCTTAGTAACCATCTCATCACGTGTGGTTTATTCATGCCACATTGCAGCAAGAAGAGTGAGTAAACCACAGGAAGATATTTTGGGGGTAGGGAGAGTAAATACTTAAATAACCTTTGCCTTATAATAAATTCAATTCCATCATAGGTATGCATGTATAGTAAAGAAATGCTGTATATATTTGGTAGTACCTGAGGTTTGTAACCATCCTCTGTGGTGGCTGGAGCAAATCCCCAGTGGATAAGGACAGAATGTAGTACCAATGCAGAGACTTTTTTTTTAGAGGTGGTAGAGGATGGGAAGTGAAGCAGAAAGTAAACTTAACCTGTCAGTTCCATTATCACTGGAGGCCAGTTTCCCCCTTCCCATCCCCCTACTCCAAGGGAATCAGGAAAACTGTCTGTAAGCAAAGTTGGTAGCTGCAGACGCAATGCAGAGCAGGCTTACCTTTTAGCAGCTGGCAATTATAGGTGCTCAGGTTCCCAGCAGACCGCAAGCTTATCAGATCTCCTTTGGGGCTGCGGCTCTTACTTACAACTTCAAATAACTCATAGGGGGGTATCAAGACTTCCTTCCTGAGAGAGAAGTCTTGCACGGAGGCACCCAGGCACGTCACAATAGTAAACAGTGTTTGGTTTCCAGACACCTGTGTCTCCTCCCTCAGCAGGGAGGCGGAAAGGAACTGGCCGAATCGGATGGTGGCACCAACGTTGACTTCAAATTTCACGTTCTTCATCCCGTGGTGGACCTCATAGCACAGGCTGCTGTTCTCTGTGGACCTCTCTTTCCTCAGCAGCTGAATGGCTGAGGTGAGGTAGTAGTGCAGATACTTGAAGTGGAATGACTGTGTGTACTGCCCAGGAGAACCCCCAGCCCTGGCCATGGCTGTAGCAAAGTCAGAGCTCACATTGCGATTCAAGGTGTAGACCAAGATGGCCACAGCATGTGCAGTGGTCATGCTCTCCGGGACAGTCCCCTCTTGGCTCAGCCAGATTAAGTGGGCTTTTTGCCATGCTCTGGAGTAATACCTATGAGTGTCTATTTCCTTTGTGAAGTAGTCTCCTTGGCTTAGCTCCTCCATGACCTGTTTGCTACAGCCTTGGTATTGATCATCAAAGGAGTCTGGTGTCAAGTCAAGGTCGACCTTAAGAGCAGCCTATAAGAAAAAGAAATCTTGATTTGCTTTATTCAATGCAGATTTGTTGTATCCTACTATGTTTTACATGGAATGGCCAAACTGTGTCCATTCCTACCTGGGCTGAGATTATCATTGTTTATAAAAGGCTTATCTCCCCAGGAAGGAAGTGTTCTGTACCATAGAAATCACAGTGTTTCTATATTTTGAATTTGTTGAAAAAATAAAGCACTAACCTTAAAGTTTAATTATACTTATGATTTAATTATACTTTCTACATTCTTCATTTTCTCTTCATATTTCCCCATGGATGTCACAAAGAATGTTAAGAGCTGGGTGTAGTGGTTCATGTTTATAATCCTAGCCCTTAGGAGTCTGAGGTAGGAGAATTGCTATAAGGCTTGCCTGGTTACAGAGTGAGTTCAAGGCCAGCTTAGGACCCTGTCTCAACCCCATCCAACTCAATCCAAACAAAACAACCACACCCACACATATATATAATATTTACATGATATGTATCATATATATAACATTTATATATTATTTATATATATGTAACATATATATAATCATCTTGCTGTGCATGCTGTGGAGGCCAGAGGTCAATGTCATGAGTCTTCCTCTATTTATTTCCACTCTGTTTTTTGAGACATGGTTTCCCACTGAGCCAGAAGCTCAGCAGTTTAGCTGAGTGGTTGGCCAGTGATCTCTGGAGCTCTGGGGATCTTCCTGTCCCCACATGCCTTTCCCACTGCAGCGCTGAGGTTATAGGTACACATTCCACAACACCTGGATCGTGTGCTCCAGGACCAGAACTCAGGCCCTCATGCGTGTTCATCAAGCACGTGAACCCCCGAGCTTCCCTTCCAGCCATCCTGCGTTGGGTCTTTTAACTATTGAAGAAAAACCTTGAGTGATAAGCAGTGTTAGGTTCTCCAAGAGAGACTCTGGTAAAAAACAGTCTTTTTGCCGACTTAGATTCTGGCAATAAAAAGGAAAATCAAAAGCGGATGTGGAAGCTGAAACATCACCCTTCTCCCTCAGTCAACAAGGCCACGTGTGTGCACACAGGTTTGGGTCTGGCAGCAAGTTGGGTTAAGAGTAAATTCCAGACATAGTCAGATGCGTCTCCACAGTTGCTGTCAGGACCCGGGCCTCTCAGATAGCATCTTGTCTTGGGGGAGAAGCCCTCATGTCTTAGAGATTAGCTTAACCGAGTCCCAGTGTGGAGAACAGAGCTGAACTCTGCGCACAGTTATTCCTCCAAATCTTCCCAAGAAAGCAGTGTTTGCAGGCAGGCAGGCTGGGAGAGTGACGAGGGGGACAGTGCCTAAGAGTCCCTCCTCTTGCAGGGAGGGGCTGGAAAGCATACTCCTTTTTTGTGGGAAACACTTGAGTATTGTCGAGAGAGTGCTGAACTGAATCTAGAGACTTGAAAAGAGGCTCATCCGGCTCCGTCAGCTCATTATTGAGAACCTTATTTGAATGACCTATGTTCAAACAGATGCTTATTTCTTAGCAAAGCGATGATGCTTTTCTTATGAACAGTGCTCATCAAAAGGCAAGATTCCGTCCAAGATCAGTGTTGTTGGGAGTGGAACCAGAAAAGCACACGATTTGGTATTTTAACTCTGATTTAGGATGACATGCTGTCTAGTCACATGTAATCTAGATCCCCTTTTTAAGACTGATTGAGTGATGCTAACCAGTACATCAGATTTTAAACTAAGTTTCCATTAATCCAATCCAAGCCAAGCCTCACATTCTTTCAAATATTACAATGAACTCTATCACATTTTTAACATGTCACCCGATCTCAAATATTTCCCGTGTCCTCTGTTGCCATTAACTTACTTTCACTGTATAGATCTTAAGTTATAAACTCTATAAAGTCTCTTATTTCCCATTATTTGTCCTTTGGAAACAGTATTTTAACACTCACAAATCCTGCCAGATTTATGGGTGATAATTTAAACTTATTTTTAATATCAATTGTTTCCCTCACTCTTCCCTAACATCATTTGCTCTTGGGTTACCAGTGCCTAAGTTTTTTATCATTTAGGTGACCACCAGGTGAGTGACTTATTGGCGCTTGGGCTACACAGATCACAGAGAGGAGCCTTTTGATTGTCCCTACCTCAGTGCTCCCCGCGGGTGTCTGCAGGGCGGACAGCAACAGCAGCAGCAGCAGCGTGAACTGTCCTCCTGGAAGCCACAGACTCATCCTCCGGTCCTCAGTACTGGGTAGAAGCGTCCTCTTGGATCTGCTGGTCAGTGGGCAGCGGTGGCGGTGTGTGTCAGAATCACGCCGCTGCCCTGAAAGCGGCATCCCCTTCTACTCGGGCTGTGTCTGAGGTTCTGCTCCTGCCGCAGCCTCTGTGACTTCTGTTGAACATCAGCAGCTTCCTCTGGCTCCTTTTAAAGTCGAAGCCTCTTAAAGAGTCAGATGTGCACAGCACACGGAGATTTCCAACCCGAGTCAGCTTCAAATCTTAAAAAGGCAAAACCAACCCCTCTCCCTATCTAGTCAGCATCCAGGGCCATGCCAAGGGTCTGTTCAGGGTCACGCTCTGCATTGCAGTTCGGCCTTAGCTTTCCCAGAGTGACAGGAACAAGCATGCAAGGTAGAGCTTGGGGCCAAGTCCCATTATCTGGAGCCCCAGGCTCGCCTTGTGAGCAATACCAGAGGCATGTGCAGCGCAGCTGGGGAGATGCAATCTTAAGGTGGGCCCGAGTCAGGCTCATCTGGTGCTGCAGATAGCCATGCCCTGGATGATCCTCCACAAGCAGCACGCTCGAATGTTAAAAGTTGTTTGCTGGTTTTCCACAGTGCGTTTGAAACACCCCCACGTGGAGACGGTGACTGTTGGGTTCAACGCTGCGAACATTTCTTTCTCCTGAGAACTTCAGGTCCTCCGTCATGTTATTCCGTGGTGAATCTCACACACAGGATTTAAGTCAGCACTCCCACTGTTAGGAACTTCCTGCTCAACTCTGGATTCTCTTCCACTATTCCCGACCTTTCAGCATCTGCTATCTCACAGACGAGTTCTATTTGTGTTTCCTGCCTCTTATCTAACTGTGAAGAGAAACCAAACCCTGTTCTTGTAAATCCTGGTCTTGCTTGCTTTTTTTTTTTTTTTTTTTTTTAAGATTGGTCTGTCAGAAGTCTCTGTAGATCCCAGCAGTTGCCTCTCAACAGAAGCTCAGAATACATAGAGAGGCACAAAAGAGGAAACGCAAGTTATCCCAAGCCCATTACTTGGAGAAAGGCCCTGTTTTGGTGGAAATTTTGTCTTTGTACCCACCACCCACTACCCACATGCACACAAGCTTAGCAGAAGTGAAGCCACAAGACTTTGTATACTCCTTCTCCTTAACATCTATTTATCTATTTACTGTTGGTGTTGGTGTGTGTGTTCAACTTGAGTATCTTCCTCTGTCACTGTCCACCTAAGTTTTTGACCCAGTCTTCCACTGAACCTGGAGCTCATAGATCTGGGTAACAGGCTGGGGAGCCTCTTGACTCTGCCTCCCCAGCCCTGGGATTGCAGGCACTCACTGGGCTCGTTTTGCTGTTGCTGTGTCTTCATGCTTGCAAGGCAAGTGCATTGCCAGCTGAACCATCTCTCCAGCCCTATTGATTAATTTTTTCAAGAGATCTTTGTTTCTGAGACAGGGTCTCATGTATCCCAGACTGGCTTCGAACTCACTATAGATCTGAGCATGATGGCCTCCCTTGATCATATATTCCCTCCTCTTTCTCTTCAACTGGATTCCCAGAGCTCGGCCTGGTGCTTGGCTGTGAATCTCTGCATCTGGTTCCATCAACTTCTGGATAAAGGCTCTATGATGATAGTTGGGGTATTAACCAATCTGATTACAGGGGAAGGCCAGTTCGGGCACCCTCTCCGCCATTGCTAGGAGTCTTAGCTGAGGTCGTCCTTGTGGATTCTTAGGAGTTAACCCTAGCACCAGGTTTCTCCCTAAGCCCATAGTGGCTCTCTCTATTAAGATCTCCTCACTTCACAACTCCCCCTTTGACCATCCGGTTCCCTCATGTTCTCATCCTCCCTCTCCTCACCCCTGTTGCCCAGTTTACCCAGTAGATCTCATATAGTTTTCCTTCCCAGAGCAATCCATGTGTCCCTGTTAGGGCCCCCTTGTTATCTAGCTTCTCTGGAGCTGTGGATTATAATCTGGTTATCCTTTACATCTAATATCCACTATTGAATGAAAATATACCATGTTTGTCTTTTTGAGTCTGGGTTATCTCACTCAGGATGATTTTTTCTAGCTCCATCTATTTGCCTGATCATGATCTACAGAGACAGCTGAGCCACGCTCATGGAAATTCATGAACTCTAGACTGACAGTGGTAGAGACTCCAGGGGACCAAACTAGGCCCTCCGTATGAGGGGGACAGTTGTGAAGCTTGAACTATCAGAGGGTCCCCTAGCAGTAGGACCACAATACAAACCTAGTACATGAGCTAGCTTGATGGAGCCCATTCCATATGGTGGGATGCCGTGCTCAGCCTTAATTGTTGGGCCTAACAAAGGCTCGGATGCGAGGCCCAATGTAAGCTCCTGAGCCTGACTTGAGTTTAGGGCTTGGATGTGAGGCCCAGTGTAACCTCCTGAGCCTGGCTAGAGTTTGGCGACCCGTCTCTGACCTGTAACCTCCACGTGGGGGTGACTTAAGCAGACCTGATGTAAGATTGCCCCTGCCTAGCTACCTGCCTGCTTGGTGGAATATTATTGGCCCTTACACCCCACGTCACCTTAACCTATCCTAAGATTCCCATCCCTTATCTCAGCCCTATATAAGTTCCTGCCTGTTGGGATAAATTAAGATCCTGCTTTGACAGACTCCCCACTCAGTGTGTGTCCCCCCCTCCACTCTACCTACGGGAGGACCGGGCATTAATGTATGGGAAGGGGCTTGGCAATGCAGCAACTTATTGTGTCAGATTTTGTTGACTTCTCTTAAGAGCCCCTACCCGATAGGAGGAGTAGATTGGGGATGGGTTGGGGGGATGCGAGGGGGTCAGGAGGAGGGGCGGGACAGAGAGCTGTGGTTGGACTGTAAAATGAAATTAAAAAAATAAATTAATTTAAAAAAAGAACTGAGGATACCACTCAACTTTTGATCATCTACTTCTACCTCCTGGGTACAGAGCTAGCAGAGTGAGCCTTCATAAACCTGTTTATATCGTACTGATGCTAGGAAGCACTCTACCAACTTAGCTACATCCATAGCCTTCACCTTAACATTTTACTGTAAACACTTCCCTTATAATTTAATATTTATCCAAATGTGTGGGGGGGAGGGGGCTCGGAGTTGCCTTGAATTCTTGATCCTCTGTCCTCTGTCTCAAGAGTACTGGCATTACAGGTATATGCAGCAACTCTAAGCTTAAAATAAAGGTATTGTTTATTTTTTTCAACTAATACCTAATACTTCACAAAATTATTTGCTGGTCCGCAATCAAAATGCATAGATGGAGACACTAGAACTAGAGAAAATTAGGTACAGGTAAACATAAAAGAACATAGTAAAAAAATTTAGCCACTTTTTTAACTGACTTTTTAATGACTTAGATGAGGCATGTTTTACTTTGTAACCCCTCCCTTCCTCCTTCCCTCTATTTCTCCCTTCCCTCTCCTCTCCTCTCTCTCTCTCTCTCTCTCTCCCTCTCTCCCTCCCCTCCCTCCCCCTCCCTCCCCCCCCCTCTCTCTCTTTCCCCCTCTCTCTGACAGAGTCTAACTCTGTAGCTTTGGCTAGCCTGGAACTCTCCATGTAGATTTAGACCAGGCTGGCCCTCTGCCTCCCCAGTGCTTGGATTAAAGGTATTTGCCATGGCAGCCAACTACTCTGTAAGTTTTAAACTTACCTTTTCATCTTCCAACAGTTTTGACCTGACAGGGAATTGTGAAATAGTGCAGTGAAGCCCGTGTTCCTTGTCCCAGTTTCTTCAGTAGCTCTGTCCCGTGAACCATGACACAGTACTAAGACAGGGAAACAAACACTGGTCGGTTGTGTGTGACTGTGCGGAGTTTCATCAGCTGAGTAGCCTTGGGGAGCCACAGCCTTTATCCAGATGTAATACCAGGGGCTGGAGAGGTGACTTCGTGGAAAAAACCCCTTGCTACTCTTACAGAGGACCTGGGTTCGGTTCCCCGCACCCACATGGCAGCTCACAGTGCTCTGTGACTACAGCTATAGGGGATCCTACACTCTCTTCCAGCCTCCACAGGCAGAAGGCACACGTGTGGTACAGACATGCAGGCAGACAAAGCATCCATGTCAAGCTGAGTATCACTAGAAGACCTCCCTGATGACCTTGTGACCTCTCGTAGCCATACCTTCCCTCTCCTCCCCACCATCCCTCACTTTGGGAACCACCATCAGCCTTCCCATCCTTGCAGTTTTGTTGCGAAAGGTACTGGGTAAATAGAGCATGCATGCTATTATTTTTAAACTTTCCCCACTTCGAGTAAGGTCTCGAAGCTGAAGCGCGGTTCATTTGTGCGTTGTATGGTGTCCTTCACTATGCGCTCTCCTCAGTGGACCTGCGGAGCGCGCTGCTGTCTCAGGAAGACCGTGCCTGCTCTTTAGTTCCGTTTAATGCTTCCCGAACGCCTGACCTCGGACCAGCTACTTAGCATCTCCATTGCTGAAATATGTGGAGGGTTAAATTGAGGATAAAGTGGGTCCTAGGAGACCTCACTGAAGTGTTACCCGAGAGACTGCTCAAGGAACAAAAACACTTGTTATTACAAGCGCCAAACTTTACTTACTATGCACCTGTTGAGCTTATTTTCAATTTTGTACTCTTGTTACTGACTCTTGAACACGTCTTCGGCGTAAGTCTCATGTGTGTTCCTCATAGATTAGAAGACATAATCCAGAGAGCTGACCGTTAGACAGGAACGCATATTTTTAGAATTAGTGTCAAGGGCCAGCAATGTTGGAAAAATAGGCCCTTAAGATGTTTTACATTCTCAGGATTCCTCATTATCAGCTGTTGTGAGGGTACTGAGGCATGGAGAGAGCAGTTGGAGTCTGAGCATTTGGACGGCGGCTCCCGATCCACTCAGGGCTGACTGAACTAGCTGTAAAATGAGTGCTCTGTGCCGGGCCTTGGCTCTCAGTAGACTTGGGACGTTTAATAAGGGGATCCTAGTCCTATTTTATTGGAAGGGTGCTGTGATTCGAGTCTCCTTTGTTTATGCTTTTGCTTGCTCTCTCATCCTACAGGAGAGCCTTAAAGAGATGTTTTTTGAAAAGATTTCTTTCTTATTTAAAAATTAACCTTTGTTTATTCTTATTGTGTGAATATTTTGCCTTCCTGTATGTCTTTTTGCCATGTGCGTGCCTTGTCCCTGTGAAGGTCAGAAGAGGGCATCAGATCCTGTGGGACAGGAGTTCCAGGCAGCCGTGAGCCGCTGTGTCGGTGTAGGGAGGAGGACTCAGCTCCTCTGCAAGAGCAGCCAGCACTCTTAACCACTGAGCCTGAGTCATCTCGCTAGCCTCCAATTTATTTATCTTCCACGTGCCTGCATGAGTTTTTGTGCACAGTGTGTGTGCTGGTGGCCTTGGAGGTTGGTGGGTGGCGTGGGGTCCCCTGGAACTGGAGTTAGTTATAGGCAGTTGTGAGCCGTCTGATGTGTGTGATGTGGGCCCTGGAGTTATGGACAGTTATGAGCCGTCTGATGTGGGTGATGGGCACTGAGCATGGGTCCTCGGCAAGAGGTTCAGTCCTCTTAACCTCCGGGCCGTCTCTCCAGCCCCGGGAAGTTTTTAAACTGTCACTCTGCAGATGTGGCTGCTGAGCTGAGGCTTTAGGAAGTTGAATGACTTACTTACTTTTCTCTAGTTCACAGTCCGCTGTCTCCCCAAAGTCTAAATGACTGCCTATTGTCTGGGAAGGTTTTGTTAGCATTCTTATTGGGCACGCCACTTCTAGAATATGACCGCTAGAGGGCAGCAGGAACTCTGACAACATCTTGATGTGACTGCATGT